TGTCTCTAGAAGGACCAAAAAAAAAGATTAAAACCCTTTTTTCCCTAATGTTTGCAAGAAAAACCGGTCCCGACATCTTTTTCTATCGCAGCTTTATCCCAATGAATATTTTTACTCCTTAGCACATTCCATTAAATTTGTTCGTTAATAAACTCATTCAACGACCGAGTATAATAATCCACGAAGGAGAAAATATTATTTAATTAATAAATTTTATTGTAGCTACACCCACCTATAAAAATTCCAAATATTATCGAGCAAATGATGATTTCTCAAAATCTTACGAACAAATTACACGCAACAATTTAAATGATAAAGGCAATGAGTCAACGGATCGGTATGATGATTTAATAGGAAACAAATTCGAATTTAAAAAAAAATAAAAAAAAAATCAGTTTTTTGTTTTCTGAGAAACGTTTCGACGAATGCACCACACCACAAAACCCCCTGGGAACACTCCGAATTCGTCATCGACATGTTCGAACGAGGTTTCATGTTAGCTGGCGTTGATTCGATATTAAATAAAGGGCCACACCTTCAGGAGGCCCAAGAACGTATGTTTGAGCTTTTCGTTCGATCGAACGAGACGGTATAACCGGTGGCAGGCTATTACCCATGTCAAAAGAAGGAATCTTTGTCCTCGTTAAACTATTGATTTCCACCCTCTCACGTTCAAGTGAAATTGCTTTCCCGACTCACCATAATCTTGCAACAACGCAAACCTCGAGATTCTTTATTTAACCCATGAAATTCTACTATTCAGCGTGATAATGTCGGCTATAGTAGATATGTATAGTAACGTAAGACAAAACGTACGGACGTACATTACATGACTCACATGTAGGTAGGTTATTTTTTTTTATTTATTTATTTATTAGATATTTTTCCGAAATGAAAAAAGTTCGTAAATATTTGCGCATTTTAATTTTCCAAATATTGTTTGTTGCTCATTAAGGCAATTCGAAAAAAATCGACCATAAAATTTAGAGTTATTGAGCATTTAAAATATTTTAAATTGTCTCAACATTTTTTATTCACCTATTGACCTATATAATTTCCGTTCATCTAATTTTTGGTAAAAAAATATCCAATTTCCTCCTCTCATTATACGTAGTTATTCCAAATTATATTTTGAACGAAACTTAAAAATATATGACTAATCATGAGCGTATTATTATTGTAGCCAATTAGGAATTTATCGTCGGTCCCTCGTAGAATGCTCGCTGGGACAGTTCGAACGATGAAATTTCACTCGACACTCCGGCGTGTGTACGCACACAATAAGGCACCCAGTGCAAAATCCGCACTTGTAATCACTCCAAGCCAACATTTCAACATTGATCTTTCCCACTGCTAACTAAAATCTCTCGTTTCATTCTATTGCCCCCTGTCGACGTTGTTGCTTATTCACTCTCGACCGTGAAACGAAATTGCTTCCTTATTATTCGCCAATTTACGGGGGCAAATGAATAAATACTCGTCTTACCGACGAAACGTAAACGGAGGAAAATGGAAGAAAACGTGATTACGGTAGAGAGAAAACGGGTTAAATTTGGATAACACAAAATGTAGACTTGTAATAAATAATATTTTTAATAAAACGGCAACAAAACTAAACAAATTATAGTTCATTTAGTTAACGAATCGTGTTGTCCTTTACAATCGTTGTTATTTAAGTAAAATCACACGCAAACGAATATTTGGAATATTTAATGATACTACCTGGTGTTCGACGATAAAAAAAGCTAATACGCCATAACGTTTACAAACGACATAAAATTTCGCAATTTAAAATCGCGTACGGACAAAATCGCATTCGCCGGAGCACAAGGAGAAAACGTTGAGGTAGGCCCGCGTATCGTTTGAAATTCCGCAATCGCACAACGACCATTAGAAATCGAATTATAAAAAAATATATTACCTCTAATATACAGCATCTTACGATGAATCGACGGTTTTCTCCATGGATAAAAACGGAGCACATGAAAATAGAACCGACCGACCGGACCTTTCGGCGACGCCGGAATCGGCAAAACAAAAAAAATCAACAAATCGCGAGGGTACTTTTCCAAAAAAAAAAACAATAAGCGCCAAACAGCGCGTAAATATACGAAACAAGGACACACCGAGCTATCGAAAACTGAGTAAAGCACGGCAACTTTCCTCTCAGCTGGAAATCGCGACGTTGCCGCTCGCCGTGCGAGAAAAATCTCCGAACGTATACGGACCTCGAGTGACGTTCGAATTAAAACCGTCGACGAGGCGTTGTATTTTCGCCAAACTCGGAGAGAAGAAAGAGAATTCGCAGCGGACGTTTAGAGGTCGAACGAATGCGGGGAAGTATGAAATTTTACAGTCGATACGTAAGCTAACCGATGTGGAAGTTTCGACATATTTTTATTTTTCAAACCGTGTTTACTAGTTTTAAGTAGGTATAATATTAAATTGCGAATAAAATTGTTGTGAACATTTGGTGTTTTTAATTTTTGGATTGATTATAGTAGCCAGTGATGTAAACCTATTCAATAAATATGTTTTTAATTGACTCGCATGGCCGATTCTCAAATTTTTGTAGAATATTCAAATTATTTAAATGTAAGTAGCATACAAAACAAAAATTCTATTGTTAATGAAATCTCATTAATCAATTAAGCAACACCCTGTATTTCGAATAAACAACGAAACCCAAACAAAAATCGCATCATCTGGCGATTCGTAAATAAACTGCTCCAGAAAAGTTAAGGAAGTTCGCAAATTTTGCGATTATTTTAAAAGTTACAGACTTTTTGATCACCAAATTTTCAAATATGCGAAATTAAATGTTTTTTTTTTCATATCTAAGAAGAATTTTTGCTCCTACCTCTACAACTCATACAAAATTTGGCGATCAAAAAACCTGAAACTTTTAAATTAATCGCAACATTTATGAACTCCCTTAACTTTTGTGGAGCAGTACATTTCGTCGAGACGTGGCAACGTCGGCTCGACCGAGCGATTTTGTCATTTTGTTTGTTCCGCCTCGTTCCGACAACGATCGCCCGTACACATACCAACTACAATAATGTAATCGTAATCGACCCGAGCGTATTACGTGCAGCGCCAATCGGCACGACACGCGATTTAAAATCCCCCGATCCCGCTTCTTCGGCCGCAACCGCGACCGCGACCGCTTATCCGCAAACATCTAAAAAATTAGCGCCAACCAATTTTTTCGAACGAACAAGAAAAAAATGTAATATTCGTTGCGGCGGGTCCGCTCCTGTGCAAACCTATTTGCGGATTTCATTCTCGTTCTCTCCGCATTGGCCGCGCTCCGTAAAACCGTAGAGAAAACGCAGGAGCGGCAGGAAAAGCGGCGCAACAGGTGCGCGGATCTCCCCCGTCCGCTTTTAACCGAAACGAAATGCACTTCGCTCGACAGCCCGACTTCGACGCTCTCCACTATGGAATCATCTCTCCCTTCTCGTCGTCGCTCGTTCGCCGTTCGGGGGGGGGCTCTTTCGCGCCGCCACCGCCGCCGCCGCCGCCGCCGCCCAACGCGACGAGCAGCTGATTCTGATTGATAGCAGCGGCCGGCGACGTTGCCGGTGCTTCGCGCGAGTTTTTCCCACTCGCGAATGTTACGTTGTAAACGAAATCGTCCTGTTGCCGTGGAGTTTACGCGATTAGATAAGAGGTCAAAAATTTCATATGTTTACTGTAGATAATTTGGAAGGAAGAGAAATTTGATAAAATTTATTTTGATAAGAAAAATATTGTTTTTATTAATCGTGTCGAGTAATAATTGGGGATTATTATAACCGCTTTTAAAATGTATATTTTTAAGCATATCTCATACTTAACATACACTCAAACTCGTTGAAGAAAATTTAAAAGAGCAAGACAGAAGAGAGGAAAATCTACAAATAGCGATAAAATGTCCATTTTCACTATTCTTTAGGCTTAACTAGAGGTAAAAATTCAAACTTTTGTAGCTTTAATAAAAATTAATAAATCATTTAGAACGCCTTTAGAAAATTCTAAATATAACTTTGTTCTAGTACTATTTTTTGTTAAAAAAATCATACTTTAAGATATTATACAATATACCTTGGGATAATTAATCTCTTTACGCGTTTAAGAAAATATATAAAGCAAAATTCCAACGTGACCTATTTAACGAAATTTCCCGGTAAATCCGATGGGCGAGCGGCGCCGGCAACGCCGCTAATCGCCGGGCAATTTTTTTTCCCCATCTATTCCGCTTAATGCGCGACCGACCCTGTGATTCGGCATCGGCACTCGCCGGGCCGGGTTCTCTCTACTTCGTTTGTCCCGTTGCGCTCGGGTTCGGAGTTCGGCTTCTCTTCTCTTGTTGTTTGTTGCTCTTGCTCTTATGCAACGATCAACGATAGGAGAGAGTAAACGGAGCATATCGGGCCGAGTCGTTGCGCCGTTGCCGATGCCGCTTCGTCGTCGCCGGTTACGGGGAAATTGATTAATCGGTTCGTATCGCTGTTTTATTTTGTAGTTAATTCGGCGACGATTGAAATGGTTTGAAACGTTGTTAACGAGTACTGGTAAATTGTTGAAATATTTTTGGTAATTGGAGCCGATTGTTTGATGAATTTTTACGCGGTGTCGATGCGATACGAGCATCAACCGCCGCCACTACAAACGTCGGCAGCCGCAGGATTTCAATTGACCTCGTTCGACCTCCTACCGCTAGATATCGCCACGAAATTCCGTTGAAAACAATACGAAGCCCAGTTAGGACGATGGGATAAAATGGAAAAAAAATAAATAAATAAGATTTTTTTTTCCAAGCGACGATGCCGCCTCTTCAATATTATAGCAGATATCCGGAAAGCAATTTATGCACGAGAGATGTTTACAAAGTACAATTCGATTAGAATAGCTGCAGACGCAGATCGAATCGAAAGTGAATGCATGTTCGCGCATCCCGCGTCTCTAGTTATATCTATCGAACTGTACATAATGTTGTTTAATATAAGACTTACCGCCTCCAGAAAAACAGCGGTTATCTGCCATGCTGCCTATTCCTTTTACACCCCATCCGAGCCTGAAAGTTAAAACACAAAAAATTACTAAACAAAATCAAAAAAAATAACTTCGCAACAACACGACGTGTAAATCGTAAAATAACTGCCATAAATTATACCTCATAATAATAATTAAGTATCAAATTAAACAATAAAAACAAACAAACGCATTGCAAACGATTTATTCTGCAACAACAGAATGGATAATTTCCAAACGGTTTTTATTCGCTTTGGAATTGAAGTAGCGATAATTTGCGTGTGCCTTCGGCATCGACGCGACGGGCCCGAGCCCGCCCTGTTCTCAACCAAACCGAACCGGAATCTCGATTCAATCCAATTTCTTGATAAGTGCTTCCATCTATTCAAACAGTCCAAAATTAGCAAGGCGAATAATAAAGTTATCGATATCAAATTCGTTACGCGTAAACGATCGCGTTGCTTTTACGATTTTTCGTGTAATAATAATAATCTAAAATACTGCCATGGAATGAGTTGATTTTTTTTTTTTGGATATATTAGTGGAGAAATTGGGAGGTCTTCGTAGAAGTCCATTTAAATGGTTTAAGATGTGATATTTGATGGACTTATAATGAATAATTTCTTAATGACTAGATCTTTAGGTTGATTAACTAGCAAATGGTGCAACAAATAAGTATAACCGCAGAATGAATAACGAGGAAACATACTGACGATTTTCTGTCATAACAAGACCACAGGAAGACATTTGTGTTCTGTGATAGTCTCTTGTAGCTTGAAAACTTTAAAGCTTTGTACCATCTTAAGTCAAAGACTTGAGACTAAAATGTTGCAGTAGGATTTTGTTGCAACAGGAAGAATTGCAAGTTTTGAAACAGTGACATATTTATAACTTCTATTACTTTCATTTGCAAGGATTCTAGTCATAATGTAAAAGAACAAAAAGCTTACAACACATGAACAAGGACACAAGGTACAGGAAAATTTATGTTTTGACTTGAAACCATTCTCGAATCAAATATGGTTTGATTGATTCGAGTAACTGGGTTCAAGCTAAACCTATTGGTCTCTAAATTGTCAGAGATATGATTAAAAAAATAGAAGGATATTTTCATTTATTTAATCTACTTGTAAGGAGTGCATTACTTGATGTTTGTTCTAAATGCATGTAGAAGGGTTAGCTGATAAGACCGATAAGTAAAAGGCCGTGAATTTAGAATTCTACCTCTAATATCGGTACAAAAACGACTATGAAAATGCCAATGATCATCACATTAAACAGACATAATTTATTCAATAACAACGCTAAATGCCAACTAAAATTAGTACGATTTGAGCAGAGTAATAGAGCGGAAAGTTCCGAAAAATACCAACAGGACGAATTGAAAAACGGAAAATTTACGATAACCGATCGAAATTTCAGGCAGTACAAAATCGACACGATTAATACGACAATTTTCGAACCGTACACACCACACTAAATGATCCATTTCCACTTGACCTTCGACCCGAACGAATTAAAAAAATAAATTCAACCGACGAACTAGAGAGAGAGAGAACGGAAAAAATGGCGAAAAAGACGTAGTTAGAAATTGCCCATAATGAAATACACCTTTATTTAAAATCTGGTACAGCCTCGGCAAAAGTTCCGATTCCGACGAGCGCAGAACTCGCAAGGATTGGAGTTAGGAATATACCTAGAGACACCTGGCTAATGGCCATCTGAAAAATTAAATGGGTCTCCGCGTATTTAAAACAAGCCACGGTTTCGTTTCGTAAATTGTGGCCGATGGACCGTCACAAAAGGGCCACGAAAAAAAGGACGAACGACGACGTCAGGAGAAAAAAAGGACGAGACGAGCTTACTTGATCAACAAGACATGAACGTTTAGGTAGAGCGATGGTGTATTTTTTTTAGTTCTGTAAAAATAACATCGTACGAGAAATTGTTTTAATGAAATATGTGTTTAATTATACGTGGATCACGTGATCAAGTTGGAGTATTTTTAGAATAAGGATGAATAAAATCTATATTGACTTGATACTACTTACGTAGGTATCTTTAAGTGAATGACAATCGAGAGAGAAAAAAATCTAATGCAAAATTTTTAAAAACCGCATGCTAATAGCGTAAAATGAATTAGTAAACACCCCGAAATCGCTCGCCGAACGATTATTTATTTCAATAATTTTTACCTTATTTGGGATTGGAAAGTCTAGGTGTAGTTAGTTTTAAACGTATTGTTAATTTTAATCCTTATGCACCAGCAGGCGCAAAGGTAAATTTGCGACATTGATGTAAATATAAATGGCTGCGATACGAACGTGTGTTAATTTAAAGCAAATAATCCTACGGCATTAAGAAACACCGTCGAAAAAATAATGGTAGGTTAGGAACGTAAATATCTTGCTCACCTTTTGGGTTTTCGGGTCGCCGTGCTTCCTAAACAAAGCCGAATGTCTCACGCCACGTAAATATCCACTAAAATCTAACAAATCGACGGCATTACCGTGGCAAAAATTCGATTTCAAAATTCCATTGGCAAAAGGAGAAAGAGTCACTTAAAAGATGGCGACCGAGCAGTAGTTACCGATAAATAATTCTTTTTCACGGTCATTTTTCAAGTTTATTGGTCAACAAATCCGTATGTAAACAACACTGAACACTCGATTTTTCCTTTTCCCGTCACTCGAACGCGATTAATACGCCGCAAAGGGCCTTTTAACAATTGATAAATGCAAAAATAACTTGACATGCGTTTTCAAATATCGCAGATTGATCTACTTTGAAATGTTTTGCATGCATAGAAGTGTAGAAGAGCAACACACAGATGGATTAGGTGACAGCACTGAGCACCGAACAACAGGGCCGGTGTCAGCGTTGCCAGACCTCGGATGGTTACTCAACGTATATTATTTTATACTCTAGTTCTAGGGTGTTTTACAAATACACCCTGATATAATTATGTATTTATTTTAAAAAAATTCTTACGTTTGTTAACTTTATAGCGGCTCTAATTTTTTTTAGTAATTTTTTTATTTGTTGGCCAGTTCCAAATAGGCAGTATTTAAAATAAATCAAGTGGTAAGAAATAAGTAAATTGTGCGATAATATAACTTAAAATTATTTAGAGATTAAAGTGTTTATTAGGTGCAACATGAAAGTAACTCTATTCAGTAATGCCACAATATCACCTAAGATTTTGATAAAGTTTTGAAAAAACCTTTAATCGAAAATAAAAATACTTTATAAATCATAATCCTAGTTAAAATTTCGATTAATATTACTGAGATACTTATGGCTACTTGATTTTTTGTGTATAATCATTTAATATAATGTATTAGAAAAAAAAAACTTTTGAAAATGAAGCCACTTCCACCGTTCAATATTTTTTTCTTTTGTAGATTTATTTCCTATATATTCTCCCTTAATTATTTTTAGCTTAAGAAATAAAAAAGATTGTTTAATTTTACATCAGGTCAAAATGGCGAAGATTTATAAAAAAGTAAATGTCAAAGTTGTCAAATTGATCGATGATGTACAATATAAAATTAAAATATACATGAATGGTGGTTATAGCATAAAACTTCAAAAACGACAATTATTTTCACTTTTACAAATAAAAACATCACAATTTATTTTATTAGACTAAATTTAAAATATTTTAGAAGCATAATTTCAAAAGTATTAAAAAATGTCAGATGTGACATTGACAAGCAAAAAATATCAAGTGACAGGTTCTTCAACAAATACCAGATTTTTGACATGCAGGTTTTTTCTGAAGATCATTTGCAAAACCGACGATTCGGCAACGTTTAATTGGTGTTGAGTTAAAGGAACGACGGAACAGTGGGAAAATAAACAAACTATTATACCGGCAGGTCATGCCGCCCTCTACTTACATTTCAAAAAAACGTACCCTGACCCCGTGTCGTGTTTTGTAACTGATTCGTCGTTTTCCGGCGCTATTTCCGTAAGCTTTCGAATTATTTTCTAGACAATTTACTAACCAGAAATTGTACAATTCATTTATTTGATTTATGTAAACCGTCACTATTTTATTACAAAAAACCTAATTGAATTAATTATTGCATTACCTGCCTCAACTATTAATTCTGTTTTCCATAATTGCAAACAGATGGTCGGGAAATATTTCTACCTGTCATAGTTGTCATATTTCTGCAACCAACGACAGATGGCGCAACTGACAACGTTTGTAAAATAATAGTCGAGTTATTATTTTATTAATTCACATAAAATTTTTATGAAGCATTATTTTATTAAGTGGAAAAGGTAAGAATATTAAATTACTACCGTTAAGATTATAACGTCACAAAGAAGTTAAAAAAAAGAAATTTTCGTTACAAATGAAATGAAGAGGTTAAAAAAAACATGAATTCTTAAATGTATGTAAGTAAATAGTTCCTTCTACAGGCGATATTTGAAATATTGAATCGTTCATTTTTTAATACGTTTTATCGATTAGTATGCGCCTTGCGGATTACGTACGTAATAATAAAACAAATCAATTGCAGTTTCCTCCGTTATCGACAATGGACACTGTGAACTTCGGCTGCGTTAAATAATCAATAAATGGCAGTTCCAGTGTGTTATTAATACATTACTCTGAAAATGGAGTTACATATCGAGGAGCAATGTGTCGAGAGGATATGATCGGCTAGACGGGAAGGGCCGTCGAAGGAAAAAAATCGCATTGAAATTTTGGAGCTGTCAAAACCCTAAGTGCACTTCGTATCCTTGGTGACTGCCTAGCAACCGACACAACAACATAGCAACATTGGGTAAATGTTTAAAATTGATTTAACTTAATATTTTTTATACAACATAGCACTAATTTGTAGGATTTGCACACGTTGTACGCCAATCATTCCGACACTAATCTATCGTTTCGTACCAACATTTACACAATTCGCCTAACTGTGTGCAAATAATTTCTATACAAATGGCTCCTATGCACTGCCCCAACGTTTCGTTTCGAGAAAAAAAAAATAACCAGAACCGTGCAGTTACTGACGACAGAACTTTGAATAAACTTAAATTAGTTTACTTCCCATCAAAGGACCTCCAAATTAGTAATTGGGGTGTATTACATTCGCTTCATTGCTCAAGAGCCTTCTGTCGCCGATATAATTATGTAATTTTCTCGACAGGATCCAGATAGATTTCCCTAAATCACATTTATTCTTTCGCCCTTAATTACACCCACTAATTATCATTTCGTTTATTTACATCGAATCTCGTCTCAGATCGGATAAGAATCACAGTAGTCGACTTTGTTTAAACAATTTTACGTGTAATTTTAGGTTCATTCGTGTTCACAATTTGTTACGAACGACACAACATTATTAGAAGACTTTGGTATGTAATAAACTACAATTTACTTCCTAGTATAACCTTATAATATGTCAAATTTCTTTCAAAATCCTAAAACCTCGATATGAATTAAACGCTATTCGGGAAAACATTCTGTATATAAAGTGTGCCAATAAGAGTTTTGTCATACGAAACCTCTTCGACATCGATTCCTAACAAGTGGTAGGTGAGCGAAAGCGGCTCCCAACCCCAGTTCCGTAACCATGGCGCATTGCTATAGCAATACACAACTTTCTCAGTCCTCTCTCTGGGCTTTTCAGTCCCCAATTATATTATATATATTTTGACTGTTGCTTTTCAGCCTCCGGTTATGTATTCGTACGTGCACCTATATATCATACACGGGTTCAGCCATCGAGAGATATAATTGTGGAAATCGAATTCGATTGGATTGTCGCATTTTCTTATGTAATTTTGAGCTAAAGTGCCGGAGCAGCTTGATGATATTAGAGCCAATATAAAGTTACTCGAGTCATATAAAATATTACCTTTATGTCCATTTTCTTGTCTCGGATGCTAAATTATTTATCTTGTTTTCACAGTATCTAGTTGTTTTCTCCGTTTTGAACTAACGTAGTAGAAACCTGCAAAAAGTATGAATGTGTAATGTATGAATAATAATTATGAAAGCTTCTGATAATACTATTGTGACTTGAGATGAATATTTGCAATAATAATTTAAAATAACGTTTGTACTAAATTTTCTTTTATCTAAATACGTTTAAATGTTAAAAAAAACTACATATTTCATTCACACAATCGCATTAAACATCCCTCGGTTGTAATTTCTTCCTTCGGTGCATTTCGTTTACCCTCGAAAGCCAAAATCTTGTGAAGTCCCGTACCAGTCCGTACCAACGGACTCCAATAACAATAAAAAAAACTTAATTTTCCCATATTTCACTCCCCCGTTCAGAAGTTTTGAGACCAGTGGTATGACAGAAATTCTCTATATTTACCAAAATTAACTAATAAAACGTTATTATAGTACAAGAATTTTTCTTTAGAATTAATTCGTATTGTTGAAAAAATTGTGAATATCAAACGTTTAGCCTCAATTTTTTTGTTTGCTTGGACTCTCACCTATTAACTATCAGATTATCGATATTTTCCTCGATGAATTAATGGCAAAAAAAATTGTATAATACCTTTCGACCTTAATTAAACGACGCTGCTGGGCGCTCATGACTCATCGTTATTATTTAACCAGGTGTAGAAAAGGCACAGGTCTAAATATGCATTCTACCCCTATGCTTTGAGCAGGTGTACTATTCAGTAATCGTGTTTTTCACGTTCGGGTTTACTAGAATGAAACCATAAGGGTTGATTTCTGATATTGCGCCTATCGAAACAAAACAATGTGCCGTATTTACCGAAAACTACTCGGTGCGATTGCTTTAAGACGGTTAAATTAGTGTTTTATGCTCGAGCTGGAAGAATTTGTGTTGTTTTTTTAGTTAATAGTTTACATGAAAGGTTGGTTGTTGTTGCTTGTATTTAGCTGCACTCAAACTTTAATTCAGGCACTTATTTATTTTTTTAAATTTGCTAAAAATTAAATTTAAATGAAGTCACCAAAGGTTCTATTAATGTTTATAGGAAAGAGAGATTAGATGAAAACATGTAAAGTAAAATAAAAAGATAATAATTTAAATGCAAATATTTTCTTTTAAGTGAACAAAAAAGGCTTCAGTTGCACTAAGTAATGCTTGGAAAACAAGTGTAATTAACTCTTCGAATTGTAAATAACTATGAAAAACTATGTCTTATAATTAACTGAACTAAATAACATAATAAACTAAAAATGTTTCTATCCAGAAAATTTCCTAAAGACTTGCATTAAGTTATTGTTTTATAGTAATAAGGAATCAAAATTTCCCTTCACCTTTCCATCTTCCCTAAGCAATATTCATTTTGCAGATAGAAAAAATCGAATAAACCAAATTCCATTAGTAACCTAATCCTACAAATTATTAACAAAAAACGCTCAAATTTGACCATCGCACATCACCAAAAACCCGACAGGTTTTATTCGAACCTTTCGTAACAACCTTCGGCTCAACGAAAACACATTTTTCCCGTACCGCCTCGCCGCCCCCGCCCCCGCCTCCTGCAATCTTTGTTTTCCCGGCCGTCGAGCCTTCTTAGACAGGATATCGAGTCCTTTGTGCGCGAATGCCATTGCAAAATTCGGCCGAACAAAAAAAAATATCAGCAATACGAAGCCTCTCGAATTCGCATCGAAAGCTCACACGATTGGTCCTCTTCCAGAGAACAACCCGAGTAGCCTTAGCGACGATACCATGGCGACGGCGGCGCGATTTGCAACTGGCGGAGGCAGCGCCAGCCCTCCTACACCGGCGCCGGCGACGACGCCCCCGGCTCAGCCTCAGCAAACCCAACTTATCGTTCTGCCTGCTAGTTTACATCAGGTAAGAGAACATCTCATCGGATGTGTAATTTTTTTTTTGTTCGTTGGACTTATTTGTTGCACAACAAAGCGTTTGAGATAGTCCTGTTTCATGTGGTTTCGTATGTTCCCGAACACTAAATCCAAGTCATTCGTTTCATCTATGTAAAAGGTATGAAATTATATTATTCACTGTTTGTAAATTGAATATGAGTATGTTGTTATATTTTACTATAATAGCTCTAATACTTGATCAAATTATTGTTGATTTTTATATTTAATGGAACTTTTACTTTTACACATTCAAATATCGAATGTTTACAAAGATTAGGAATTAGGATTTTCGTGTTACCTACATGATAGTTTATCAATTTCATGATTAAATATAATTATAAAAAACCGTGAGATAAACTTTTTGTTGGTAACGTTAAAATTTTTTTTAAACAAAATGGATGTGAAAGTTCAATGAGAATAATTCATAAATTTATTACCTTTCTTTTGAATTGAGGTACAACCAAAACGATCCCATCGCTTTCTTAAAAAAGTTGTAATTATTAGTTTATAATTTCCAATTATTTAAACTAATTAACTTCGCAATTACAAACACAAATTAACCGTCCTCATAACTACTTTAGTACTTTTCATTTTAAAAAACTGACAGTTATGTTAAGACAGTTTGGACATTTTAACCACCATTATTTAAAAAAATAAGTTTGTTAAAAAAGAAGACAAGTGACAAGTTAGGCAACTTAAATAAAAAAAGTTTACGTGTTAGAAAGAGAAGCGTAGTTTCTTATACAAGTAAAAAGGAGACGTACAATTTTCAAATTTGAAAAATTAAATTTTTTTTGAAAATCAAAAATGTCTTATTAGGAAAATTGAATTATATTTATTATAACCGGAAAAACTAGATAAATATTGTGAACATTACATTAGCAAATGGAGTACAATCAAATCAACATATCGCATTTTCAGCAGGCGCTGTAAATACAAACAAAAAAAAAGCGAATAATTAACAGTTTCCCGTCAAAATTGTTGTTGCTAGCCTTCAAGAGCCTATTGAAAAAATATCCGTGTCTCCGAGCCGCCGAAAAAAATAGAAACTGGTAACTCTTGGTGATAAAAATCTTAAATAGCAACCGAAAGAAAGAGCTAATAATAATTTAGGAAACTCGCAAATACCTACCTTGATTATTTCATACTCGAATCATGATTAAAAATTACATGGTAAGTACCTATTTACCTCTACATGCGAAATATGATATGAATGTTTCATTCTATATCAGCATTTTTGTATAAATAGGTGTATTAATTATTTTAGTTTATTATATTGTATATTATACAGAGTGTCTTGCTTAAGAATTCATCAGAATAGAGGAGAACCTAAATTTAACTAGCATTCATTTATACGACTTAACTTTTATCAAATCTTACAGAAAGTTTGTCTGTATACACTACAATACAGAAGACTTCAATAATATATGGACATTGTTAACGTTAAAGAGACTCTTTAAATGATTGATAAGTGTTAAAAAAGAGCTCTTTTAATAGAACTCGTCTCTGTATTTAGGATTTTCCGCCGCTGCTCAGCTTCCCGTCGGCTAGTTAGCAACTTTCAATAGTTGCAATCGCTGCTCTATATTATATTTTTATAATTGTTTAACATATGTATTGAATACTAGAAGCTCTCGTGAATAAATAACATTCTGGTTCTAATCTGTTGCCAATTCTAAACCAATTTATCTCATTGCAAACAAATGTTCCACAATTTTCCAATAGCTGCCTCTAATAGTACCCAATATCAGTTCAATAGTAATCAATAGCTGTCCAAATGGTACCCAAAAATTCAAATCCTATTAATTTCCCAGTAACGGGATAGGTGTATTCCTTGGATTTGAGGATAAACTTGGACATTATCTTTGCAGGCAACAGGCACAATCGTCAACGGAGTACCCGTTATCGACGTATCGGCTTTGGAACAGGCCGCCGATTCCAGCAACGAGAGCAGCACAACAGCCGATCAACAGAACGAAACCCACGAAACCGATCCGCTTGCGTCCGGTTCGCCTCATTTTATCACCGTTACCGGTAAGTTCCTGACATTTTTTTAAGCGCCGTCGGTTGTACAAAACTGCTTCACCCGCTTGTTGCGATTGTACTTACTATTTCACCCATGCAGTACCTGCAGAGGCTGTAAGAAATGTTTTATTAAGCTGTTATAGATTAACGAATTTCAGTGATTTTTCTGATATTTTGGCGTTCAGCATACGAACTGTAAACTTTTATTGTTCCGTTGGAAAAAATATCACGAGTAGCGCGAGCTTTATTTAATTTCACTTTAATTACTGAGAATTGTTGGAGACTTTTACCATTGCACATATGAATTCCGTACATTCCAGCTATTCCTACCGAACTGTATTTCGAAAAAAATCTGATTGGTTAATTCGCCAAATTAAATTAATGTTTATTCATTTCAAAAAGTTGGGAAATTGGCACATTTTTCACTTTATCGAATCGTTTGCGTTTCATTTGTGGCTTATTTACATTATAAAGCATGCCATTCACGATATAGCGTACACAGGTTACTAATAAGTAAATGATTGTTTTTAATGCTAACTAACTACACCAGAAGCAGCGAATAGATCTTACGCCTCTTTAACACCTTTACAAACTACCGTAGGTAAGAGCACCAATTTTTGGTTTTAGCATGTTTTTGTTTTCACCTCATTTCGGTTAGGCCAAACAGCTAATATTTTTCATTCACACCAATTTAGTAATAATTTAGCAGAAAAATTACAATTTCATTGGCTCAAACTAACACTCAGAAAACCGCTTTCACACAGTTTGATCAGTTTACTACAAAAAAAAAACCATCCCTTAATCAGCAATAATTTTCAAACATCATCCTCAAACGTCGACTGTACCATTACATCCCCCGCAACAACGCGACCATCTAATTGTACCTGTAATCTCTCTATTCACTATTTTAATTAGTAGATTTTCATTAGAGGAGCGGAGCGAATTCGAGCGCGTTGGACGCGCGTCCGCGCCCCCGTTTTCCACATGTATACGCTTACAGTACAGGTATATACCGGGAGAGCGCGTCCTCCACCCTCTTTTCGGTGCATACGGGGGACGTTACGACGGTTGAAAGTTACACCTGATTGGACACACGACTGGCACACGTCACCTGTGCCTATCGGATTATAGGGTGATTCACGTTTTTGGCGATTACGATGTATTTGTTGTTGATTTGATTGAACCAACCAAAGGCGGTACGCTTGGTTTTTTTACATGTACAGAGCGGGAGAAATAACGTTAGACGTTGCACTGTCTTTGAACGTTCGAGATATTATAATTTTTTGGGTCTAAACTCGACCCAATCCAACTGTTAGTAAGGCTAAATAAATCTGTTGGTATTATCCACGGTCCTATATTTCTAAGGTCTGGAATCATGGGTCGAGAAAGTGTCCCGTTATTTGAGGATAAAACAGGGTTTCTAAAACGGCCGTTAGGAGGCGATGTTGTAAAGGACCCCGGTTTTTTGGGAACGAATTATGTAGAATTAGCATTAAGATAGGTGTTATTCAAACTAAAAATAGATATAAAATATAAAAATATACTTAAATCCGCGATGATTTTGTTGTAAACATCATGCCTCACGTACCTTCGGTTATTGTATTCCTCCATTTTCTCCTCGAAATGTCAATTTTTGACACTTTTGACAGCTCGAACTGTCATCTCACAACCGCGATTTATATGTAGCTTAAAAAGTCCTCAAATAACGGGACACATTCTTCAATGCATAAGCATAGGGAGATGCCAGACCTTAGAAACATAGGACCGTGGTATTATCCGAGGATAATTATGGAAAAAATGCCATTTCAACAGCACACCACTGTACCGTCAAGTCGGCGTTTTTCCACCTTTCGCATGTAATAATCTTTTTTCCTCTCCTCGGGAACTCTTTGTGTTATTAACTATGGCACGAGGGCCGTAAATATATTAGATACATCAAACGTGTGTAACAGGTATGGGGGAAGAGGATGCGTCGTTGTGTATTGTGATCGCGTTATTTACACTCGACTTATCGCTATGATATCTGGGGCTTCATCAGTCAGAAGTGCGTCGGACGATGTTTCCTATTTTTTTTTTATTCTAATCTTCCTCAGTACTCGGCGCGGCTCGGTGAGAGATAGTTTGCGCTGATGCGGACGCATCATGTTTAGCAGAAGGAGTTGGACCGGTGCAAATTGTGAGAATATTTTTACGATTTCCGGTTTTTAATAAATTGTCTGCTGTGCTGTACAAGATATTTGTGTTCTTTGGGGTACGGGGATATGGTTACAAGAGAGTGTTTAAGAGTGTGTCAAAATTCTGCAAGATAGAGGGACGAATTGAGAATTCCCTTAATAAGGCTCATTGGGATCAATTCATCTAACGTTTCTACTCATCACTGTTTCTGGATTATTATTTAACCTTCCTCCTTCTTTCCCCATCAATGTATAAAAGACTGTTACTATCGAAGTGTCGATCGATTATAGCAACTTTAACGTTTCTGTTCCAGTTGCCGAAGGTGACACTGTGGCTTCACACCAGGGCTATCACATCCAGTATGTGGAGCCGGAAATATACGCAACGCAAACGAACGGCGGGCAGGCACAAATGTAAGCATTCCACCAAATTCCAGCCCCCCCAATTCCCTTCTGATAACTACATTCCAGGGCGTATCCGGTGTACACCGTGGGCGAATCGGCCACCCTCTATCCCATAGGGAACGCCGTCCAGGCGCAAGGCCAGTACTATCCGGCCTCGAACGCCGGTACTACCACGGTGACCGGCACCGTCGGCTACACCACCACCGGCGCCCAGTACGTGGTGCAGCACGCCGTCGACGCCGACGCTCTCATTACATCGAATCGAGTATCGCCGCAAACCACGAGCGCTGTAAGTTTTCGCGTTATTTGGGAATTTATCGATACATTTGCATGATTTAGTTTTTGGTACTAATTTGTACGCTTTCTGCGAGACGAACGCGAGCTTGCAGAAAGCGTGCTCGACCGGTCGAAGCTTTCTACTAACGTGGAATGTAATGGCTTTTTGTTTTCTTTTTTTTAAATCTTTCTAACCGGTGGTGCAGGAGACCGGTTATGTTGCTACAGCGACCGTGCATGCTTCTCAGCCTTCGGGCCAGGTAGTGTCGGGCGAAGACGTCGGATCGGCCCTCGGGCACGCCACTAGAGTATCTCCTGCTACCGTAAGTGCATCTTTTAATTCCTGTATATTCCTCGATTAATCGGCTGTTTAACAAAAATGTTATTTATTCGTCGATTTCTTTGGGCAATTCCTTTGGCGCTTTAATACTAACTTGTGGTGGTTGAATGTATACAAATTTTAGACGTACGGGAAGATTAACTAGTTTTAGTTGTATGTAGAATGGTATACCATTTATGTTAAACGACCTCTCGACGTTTCACATCTCCAAATTCGCTCGATAGGAGTATGTGGTAATTTTGTAATCTAATGATACATTGGATGTCGAAAGGTGCAATGGTTGTTAGAAAACTACGAAACGGCCGAAGGGGTGTCGTTGCCGCGTTCGACTCTGTACGCTCACTACCTCAGGCATTGCGCGGAAAATAAATTGGAGCCCGTCAACGCCGCTTCGTTTGGCAAACTCATCAGATCGGTATTTCTGGGACTCCGAACGCGCCGATTGGGAACGAGGTGAATACCGCGTTGTCGCATTCAAACCGCTCGATCCCAAACGAAATTCCCATTTATTTTCGCAGAGGAAACTCCAAGTACCATTACTACGGCATCAGAGTGAAGCCGGGTTCGTCGCTGATGAACCTGGAGGACCAAAGCAGCAGGGTGGTGTTGACGTCGAACAATACCAACGGCAAGGCCCAAGGAACCGTGAGGCCATTTAAGAGGAATTCCGAATCGTCGGATGCGGTGATCGGATCGGGTCTGTCCCAGCACGTTGCCTATTTGGGCGACGGCAGCTCCGCCATACCGGCGTTTCCCGACATCCAGTTCAACGGGCCGTTGCCGGACGATTGCGGCTACGAGGACGTCGATACGTTGAAGTCCATATACAGGGAGCATTTGGAGGCTTTTTTGGACGCGATTTTGAGCTTGGAATTTTCTACCGTCGAATCGCTGTGGAGGGAATTTTGGAGGTGAGCGATTCGTGTCGAATTACAAGTGCAAATGTAGCACGTATTTCGTTGTAGATCTCAATATAACAATAACAGCGACGAATGCGAAGAGGAAAAATACCTCTCCAAATCGAAGTTGTTTTGCTTGTGCAGCTTGGAGCCCGTTCAGCATTTCATGAAGCAAGTAGATTTGGTGTTTTACCAAAATCTCATTCAAGTATTAGTGCCCGACGTTCTCAAACCCATACCGGCCACTTTGACACAGAGTATACGAAACTTTGCTAAAAGTACGTTGATCCCACTTAACGAAACTTCCCTTATTGATCGTTTGGAAAATTTATAGATTTAGAAAATTGGTTGACCACAGCCATGGGAGGAGCGCCTCAATCTATGCTGCAAATCAAGCTGACCGCCGTGTCCGCGTTTAGTTCCAGTTTGAGGCGCTACACCTCTCTGAATCACCTCGCCCAAGCAGCTAGAGCGGTCCTGCATAACAGCAATCAAATAGGTATACAACTGAAGGTTCAATAATACTTTTCTTACGTTAATTTAAACGGTTTTAGGTCAAATGTTGGCGGATTTGAATCGCGTCGATTTTCACAGCGTTAGAGAACAAGCCTCGTGGGTGTGCCAATGCGACAACGATCTCGTGGCGCGTTTCGAAAACGACTTTAAGCTGACGTTGCAGCAACAAAATTCGCTGGAGCAATGGGCTTCGTGGTTGAAGAACGTGGTGAAAAGCGCTTTGAAACCCTACGAAGGAAAACCGACGTTTTCCAAAGCTGCTAGACAATTTTTACTCAAGTGGAGCTTTTACAGGTAATCGCGAATATCTAATGTCTCTTTCGTTGTTTAATTGAAATTTTCGCAGCTCGATGGTCATTAGAGATTTAACGCTAAGATCTGCGGCTAGCTTCGGCAGCTTTCATCTGATTAGATTGTTGTACGACGAATATATGTTTTATTTAATCGAGCACCAGGTGGCCGAGGCGACTGGCGTCGTGCCCATAGCGGTGATTCTAGAAGGAATTGTAAGTAGAGGTTTCGGTTAATCGGTTCCCCCGTATCGATGTGAACGTTTGGTTTTCAGAAACAAGACATTTTGGAGAACAGTTTGAGCGACTACGGGAACGACGGGTTCTCGACGTCGAAGCTCAGATGTATCAGTCCTACAGAGGCCCTATCGAAACGTCCTAAAATTAGCTAGCTTAAAAGCAAAACTAGAATTGTTATTTCGCCGTTTCATTGATGCGATTTTTTTTCCTATTAGGTTGTTTCGTTCGAGCAAATTTCATTCGTTCAAATAGTCGTTCGAGGGTTATTTTTTTTATTTGTTTTTTTTTTTTTAGATTTTTGAGTATGTTGGGACCACATTGACTTTTTCGTTTTTTGAGTTATAAGTAGTATTTTTGAGTTTTGATGTATTCAATAGGATCTTTCAATAAGAATGAGTCTTGATTGTTGTATGTTGAAACTAGAGGTACCTTCTAATATTATATTTATTATACAATTGAATCATTACTTAGAAAGTTCCTTTTGGCTCGAGGATTGATTGAATAGGAAAAATTGTAAAGACTCATTAATATTGTAGATGCTACTGCTTGTAAACTTAGAATTGGTAGGGATTTTTCGATGTTATATCATTGTGCAATCGCGGTTACTATTAGAAATAAAGTATGTAAGTGCCGTCAAACATTAGTGTGACAAATAATAGGTGTACATATTTATATTATACGTATATATTATGTAGATATAATTATTTGGCACTAGCAAAATATTCGTCTTTTTCATTGGACAATTTATTTATTTTTATTTATTTAGAGTTCGTAATTTCGTTCGACTGATTTTTTTGTTGCATGTTCAGATTGATTTATTGTTCGCATTCTGATCGTATTAGTTGATTTGTACGTTTATGGTATTGAATTGTTTAGTATATTTTATAATTTGATGTATTTCATATGGGCAAAACGGACCTGTTGAGGGGATATTGCAAGTGTAGAAATAATAAATTTGCTAAAAATTTAAACGGTTTAAATACCAATTGTATTGCAATTTATTGTAACACTACAATGTTCTTTCAATTTGTCGATAAGTTTATGACTCAAAAGTATAATCCATCCATTACAAATATTTTATATAATAACACTTAAAAGAATCGCAGGGTATATAATATTCCTCTTACAAGGTACAAGTATTTTTAATGATATACTTAATCGAAACTTTGTACTAAAAAGAAAGGTTACGTTCACATTTACCGATAATTTTTAATTGTTTAGTAGTGCCTTTATTGATTAAAACTACACTGAATTGAAATTTTATTTAGTAGTTGATCTATTATAGTACATTGATTACAAAGCAAATTTTCCACTATACAAAAAAAACTTTCAGATGACTATACAAAAAGGCCTAATATTGATATTTGTTTCTAGTCATTATAATATTGTATATGCATGGATTTTATGGAAAAAATGTGAACGTTTAATCTTTTCGATATGAATTATTGAAACTCAAGTTGCCTCATATTAATTACGAGTGTAATTTTGTGAATATGAAGATATAAATTTTGTATTTATAAAATGAAATAAGTGTGCTGTTGATGATTTTTTTCGGAATAATGTCACGAAATTATGTATTCATGTGCTTTCCTAAAACCGGACAGGTCCGGACTGGATTTTCGGAGCGGTTCGATTCACAGAAGTGGGTGCTAGTCATTGATAATTTTTAATACGAAATAATCGTTAAACTTTTGATGGATGGTACGAGACAGCAGTCCTGGCCTGTTGGTTTGCGTGTGATTTCCTGCAGACATTAAGGCAAAACCGGGTTAATTCCGGATAGTCGAATCTGGAAAAGTGCACCTTGACGTTGAACGAGAGAAACGCCGTGTTTGTCAATGTCGTTACGCGAAGTACTTGATATTACAAATATTAAAAACTGTGTATTTTTGTAGATGTCTAGTCTAACTGAACAGCGCGCTTTTCATAGTTCTGTTGGTGTTTGAGTATGTTAATGATGTGAAACGCCGACATTATTTTGTGAATGTTAATATTTTACTGTCGCAAAATGTCGTCGAAACATCGGATAACTCCCTATAAAGATTTCAAAGTTTCATAATTTCCGAAAAACGCGAAAAAATTACCACTTAAATAGGAATTGACTAGTTGAATGTTGCCATTTACAATGCACTGGTGTTTCACACTAATATACACGAAAATAAACATTTTTTTGTAATTTCTTTTGCACATCAGGGACTGTGTTAGATCTCATAAAATGAAAGTAATTTTTATATTTTCAATACTGTGTAATTATGGTTATGAATAAAAACTAGTCTTGTGTTGTTAACAATTTATATACCTTCTTTCAACAACCCTTTTATCTTTTTCCAAAAGATGCAAAAGCTGTTAAACAATCTTTATTTACACAGTTTAGCGCCTTCGATTGGCGTGGCTAATACTACTATTAGCCCTTTTTCTCCCTTACACATTATCGTTTATTATCGGAATACACTTTTCGTAAATTAACCGACTATTTCCAAACTTTAACAACACCGTCTCGAGATGACGTTACGAGGAAACACTGCGATGCTTTACACATCGCTATATCGGATATACAATCTCTATGACCCGCCGCCGGCGGTTCCGGACCGGGCCGCGGTATTTCTTCTCCCCTATCCACTTTTCTCATCTGCCCCGCTTCTTCGTATATCACCTGCGTACCTAAAAAAAACCACCGAATTACAACAAATAACACGTTCATTAACTTCAAACTTACCATCGATTAGACGGCTCCTGTAGCTCAACGTAATCCCCCCGGGATCGCTCGCTCCGGGTATCGCAAGGTACGATTCCGAAGGGCTATCCAAATCCCAAAATCTGAGCCTCTGATCCGTCCCTCCGGCTAAGAGAAACGGCGATCTATCGATGCAACCAGCCATCATAGCGCACACGCTGTTACTCGTATTACTGGAATCCTAAACGAAAGAAAAAAAATCGGATGATAATTCAAGTGCTTCGATAGATGAACTTACTGTTTTGGACAATGGTGGCGAGGTGCTCCCCCACAGCACTTTTTGCCTAAAACTAGTTTCTATATTCCACATGGATATCTCGTTGTTGCCTTGATTGCTCGACAAAACCCACGAATTTTCCGTAGGATGGCATATCACTTTTTTAATCCTTACAGGACCTAAACAAAAAACATCATCAACATCCACACAACGAGCATCAAACGAATTTACCCGACGGATGCTCGAACTGCATTATGGGCAATTGAAACCTCAAATCCCAAGCGACGTGGTTCCCGTTGCTCGTGCCGAGCATCAACCAACTTTGGTGCGAATCGAGGCAGAACGTCGTAATGACGCCGTTCTTCAAACCGTTCTCCAATTTGAACGCCGTCGTGGGCGCCCTGAGGTCCCAGCCGATCAGGGCCCCGTACAAGGTGGCGTACACCAGCACGCTTTGCGATCCCGAATCCAAGCATTGCACGTCGACGGCGTACCCGTCGTCGTCGAAGTTCAACTGACGCGATTGAAACGCGCTCAATCTGCAACAACGAAACGTTACGAAACCGCGCGGACGCCATCGTTTACTACTTACTTGTTACTCGAAGAATCTATTCGGAGGATATTGACCGATCCGTCTTGTCCGGTGACGCCCAACGATTGGCCGCTTTCGCACACCGTCAGCCCGGTGATGCTGGCGCCCAATTTGAAATGTTGCTTCGATCGGTTCGCGATGTTTTTACCTTCCATCTTGGCGCAATCCCACAATCTAAACGAAACGTAATATTACAACTATTGTATTAATATTACAACTCGCATTACCTAACGGAACCGTCGGTGGATGAACTGGCGAACAACGGGGTGTCGGGCAAAACGCACAACTTGTTAACGGCCCCCTTGTGCTCGTGCAAATGGGCCACCAGCACCCCGCGCAGCCGCCAACCGGGCGGCGGCAATTGGGGACGCCAGGCGGTGTGCTCGGCCCACTCTTTGTTCCGCAACGCTTCGAAATAGTGCTCCTGTTGTCTGTTCTTCAAATTCGCCAGCTCTATGTAACAGTTCGATTTGCGATCTGAAATCGTAAACCGCTTATCGTAACCCTTCTCGATCCGATATTAGATACACACGTACATTGGATATAGGACCTCTCGTGTAAGCTAACGTTGCTGGACGGATCCGTGGCGCTGTACTGATTGTTGCCGTCCAGAGGGGGCGAAGAAGGCCTGCTGGACGTGGATCTGGAGGACGGGCCGCCCGAATTGGTGCCTTCGGATTGCCTGGCCAGCGCTTCCGAGCTATAATTCCAGTCTGAATTAATGTTTGTGTCTATGGATCCCGACGTATTTGTTCTGTGTAATCTGAAGTGGAATGGTTCGATTAGTGCTGTGAGGGTAGGGTTTTTCGGTGTTGCGAGTTCGGTACCTATTGGCTAGGAAATCTCCTTTTTGGGTTTCGCCCAAGTTGAGGATGTGGCCGCGAACGGTGCTGTTGATCGAACTGATTTCGATTCTACCTTCGTTCGATCGCAGTTGGTAGTTATCGTGTATCTTGTGCTTGTTGATTTTTTTTAAATGGTGGGACATTTTTAGGAAGTATTCCTCCATCGTTTCGTTCATTCCATTGGCCTCTAATCGTCTAAATAACTAATAAAATAATTTTACTTACATACCGTATTCCCGTTCGATTATCGTACTTACGTTTTTTAAACTAGGTTGCGAGTCTCTGTAGAAATCAGTCGTGGGTACTTTTCCCGTATTCACGCATTCCCTCAAGCACCTTCTCTCTTTTAACGTTTCGAAAATGAAGTCGATTTCATTGAAAACCACAACGTTATCGTACACGTTCCTCGGAATCGGGCTCACCAAAGACTCCAACAAAAGCTCGGGCCTGCGACACAATACATAATCCAATCACATCTTACGCCTTTCGCATCGAATTCGACTTACTTATCTATTTGAATGAGCGGATACTTCATGTACATTTTCAGTTTCGGGACAATTTTGCACTGCACGTCCAGTACGGACAAGGACTTTGCAGCCGACGATATAAACCCGGCCACCGCCTGCCTGATCCACAAGTTAGGGTGGACTAAAAAGTAGGAGCATTCAGTCACCAATTCGCACAGGGCCGGCTTAGTGATGAGCCCGAGCTCCGTTAGGGATGACATGGCGTTTATGCTTTTCGCCGTTACCAGTTCCGAATTATCCGTTAGACCCTACGATAATAAAATTAATACATAAAACAGGGCAATATTGATGTATTAAGTTACTTGTAGTAGAAGTGGGGTTAGAATGCCGGAGCAATGCCAACCGATGTAAGCTGCAACACCCACGATACAATCGAAGAATGTACCCCTCAATTCTTTATCTTCTTTATCGTTCAGGAATGTTATCATGTGCGATAGGAGCACATCGTTTGCTGGAAACGAAGGATATAAATAGAATGATAAATTCTTTTATCATCAACTCGAAGTACCTTTGGTTTTACCGAAGAACACGCATAATTTTGTAATGCCGCTGTCCATCAGAGTTTGCTTTACAATCGATTGTGTATCTGTTAGTAGAGCACTGACAGTTTGCGAGATCATCTCGTGCAGAGCCTGCAATTCTAATTCGTAATTAAAGGTGTGCTCTTCCTTTTGCTTGTTGGTACTGTTATTGTCGTACCAGTCGTTTTGGATTTGTTCCAAATACCTACGAAGAACGGGCGCATTTTATTGATTTATAAAGCCTATTAATTCGAATTTACCTCAAAGCTATCTCGGCTAAAGTGGCTATGTTTTTGGCGTAAGCTGCTCGAACTGAAACGTTCGGATCCGTTGCTAGTGGAGCCAATTCTGGAAGGATGTACTCCGGAAATACATTTGCATCGGATCGAGATATCTTGGAAACCAAATCTAGACACTTTGTTATCGTGTTTATCGCTGAAATTTTCACCCTAGTGGAACTATCGTGGGCCAAAAACATCTGAAACATTTAGTAGCAATTAAAAACATACAGAACCATTCAATGTTCTAATAAACACTCACAATATAAGGAAGTATTCGGTCCAAAACGGTTTCATCGCTAGCGTGAGACGCCAAATCCAGCAAAATTTCCAAACTATACAATTTGGACGAGCAAGTGTGCAATCCCCTTATGCAAGATGTCACCAACGATGTGATAATAACGAGCCCCTCGCATTCGCCTTTATCCACTTTTTCGTTGTCAATTTTTTCCTCGTCGTCGTTGGATTTAGTCATGGGTCCCAGGAACGTGAAAATGTCGTTAATATCGCTCTTTAAACGCGTTATTTTTTCGTCGGGCGACAGAATGGGGCTCGAAGAGAATATCAACATGTACGATTGTAAGAAAGTGAAGAAGTATTCGGGGAACAAACTGCCTCGGTATTCAGCCAAATAGTCCTCGGCCCGTTTGCGTTTGTGCGGATCTTTCTCTATCATACTCGAAATCAGCGATTTCAGATTCGGGTCTTCCAGTTTATTTAAATGTTTCTGCGGTGAATATTTACCGGAACAGTAGGCCAGTAATTGAGAGTACTCGAAAGGAACGTGCAATTCATTCCAAAGTTCTAGCAAAGCACATCTGTAAAAATAAACTTACCAATTATATATTTTTTATCCATATAATCTATTAAGCTTACCCTGCTGAGAATATATCCATAGCAGGAGTCAAATCACCGGAATCAACATTAGCTTCTGCGATTAACGAACTCCCTTCAGTTATAGTAGTGCTAGTACTGGAGAATCTCTCCGGAGCGAGGTAACAAACTCTTCTGCGAGATGTGTCGAAAAAATAGGAATAATCGGCTGGATTATCGACTGGGACAAACGTGGGTTTAAACGAGGCGAAATCTACTAACAACACCCAATTCCACGAAGTTATAGTTATGTTTTCCAGCTTGATATCACCATGACAAACTCCTACTTTGTGGCACTGATGCAGAGCATACAGTATTTGAAATGTAATCCACCGTTTTTCGATGTTTGTTAGAAAGGGCCTCGTGCTAATTCTGTCGTATAAGCTGTATTTAACGTATTCTCTCATAATAATTCCAGCCTTATCGGTTAACGTGATTTTTTGGTAAGGAATGCAATTGACTGCGGAACTTAATTTCTTCCGAATATCTTCCAAGTGATCTTTGTAAGGTGATAGAGGTAGGGATGGGTCGTGTATAGCGAACACCTTAACTACAATCAGTCCTTCTTGAGATTCGGCCCGTGCTACTTTCAGGAATCTTGTACTGCCCAAACTTAAATAAATTTTTAACATGTAATGTGTTTCTGCGTAATTTAAATTACTCTTACCTGGTATCGAATTTTAGGTTCGAAATATCCGTTAAATATCTTTCTACAGGAAATATTTGGGATGGAGCTATCCCTACAAGTTGATTCCCCATTTTTTCGTAGTGTTTTAAAGTTTTGCAAATTGTTGTTTTATATTTATTATTGTTGACATATCAAAATGAAAAAATTGACATAACATCTGTCAACTTTATCAATCTACATTTGGCCTCTAACTAGTTGGTAATTACACATATCGTCAAATTCAACATTGATAAATCGAACAAGTTACAGTTGAATTATTTAAAAAATGTTAAATTTAATCAAAAAGAATTTCAAAACTAATAGAATTGGGCGAAAACTATTCGCCGTAGAGGATTTCATTTCATCTCTTCTTTTTTCTGATTATTACAAGTCCTGGTTCCTCATCCTTCAAGCCACAAACACAAGTAGCTGAGTGCTTATTGCGTTCAGGCCCCTGAATGTCATTACAAATAACAGCTGATATTTGACATATTTATCAAAATTTCTTGATTGTTTAGGTTATTTTTAAATGATTTATTTACTGTTATCACTATAAAATTACATCAAAACATTATTCCACAGTAATGGAAGTAAGTCCTCTCTCTATTATATTAGTGAAATCGGATAGTAAAGGAGATAGGCTGCTTTTTCGTTATCCATTTCAAACCCGATGCAACGATGAACCCTCAAGCAAAGGAAGAAAAAATCCCTACACTCTTCCAGTAGTAGACGATTTGCTACAGAGTCCCAAGCAATCATTTTCAAACATAAACAAGGAGAATTTAACAGGTTTAACGGACGAAGTGCTATCATCACTTTTTGCAGTGAAAACTGAACTGTGTAACAGAAAGTTCGAATTAAAAGTAAACGATGTTAGGTTCGTCAGCCACCCGACTTTGTTGCAGCTTAGAAATAAACAAGAAAAGGAAGATGATTCCGGTATGCTCGTCAATATTGTGTTTGCCTTACAGGCACTGGCTAGTCATTCAGTAGGTACGTTATAATTATTAACTAATTACATTTAAAGCTCAGTTAATTGGAAAATTTTAGTTAAATGCTACCACGATTTGAGCAAGAGGATGGGTATAGTATTAAAATACGAAGAGAAAAGATGCGGATATGTTTCAGAACAAACTCAATTAATGACAACAGCTCACGATGATGGATACACGAACGGCTCTAACAGTGCTTTTCAAATCATTCTGGAGAAATGTTCGCTTGCTAATAACATTAAGAAAATGTACGATGATCTTTGCACAACTGGTAATTTAATTAACAATTTAAAATATATAGGAATTGTTTGATCCTGATTTCAATTGTAGGTCTCGTTAATCTAAGAATTAATAGATGGATACCGCTTACTTTTTGTTTACCGCAAAAAGTGCATCAGTGGCATATAAGAGGAAAAATTGTGGAACCCGAAGACATCGATAGGTATTTATAAATTACTGCTACTAAATTCGTAATAATATTAAGTTATTTACAGATGTTTAAGCGCGTTAAGGCCATACCACAGCTTATTACTGCTACATCCGTTGCACCAGAAGAACGATTTTACCTCGCTAGATGGCTCTCCTGGTTTAGACAGAATGTTGAATCAATATTCTCCTCTAAAAAATCTACAAACTCTAGCGGCCGATTCAGATCTAACACTAACCCACGTAATAAACCAATCGATAAATAAAGAAATAGTATGTACATTTCTTATGTAATTCCAGGTGTTCGAGCTGACTGCACACCTCGTGTATTGGGCCAAAGCCACTGTGATTTTCCCAATATGCTCGACGAATAAATACGTCATATCCCCTAACGCGCCGATTCACCTAAACTCCCCGTTACTCGAAAAATTCAGCGACACCTTTCCCGGCTCGAATCTCATAAGGACCGTCGGCGAATTTTCCCTGCCCTCTTCGCTGAGCCAGAAGTGCAATCCGCTGTGCCACCCATCCCAGCAATCCGAGTTAGTTAAAACTATTATTTGGCTTTTGCAGCACCATCTGTTGCTGCAGCTTCACACTTACATTCAGTACATGCCTACTGACAACGGCCCTTTGTATAGTAAACGGTAGGTGAGGATATTCGTAATTTTCGATTTAATTGCGGTGTTATTTTAGTGGGAATAATAAGAGTTGTTTGGCTTCACCTTCGTCTAGAAGTAGCGCTGTGGTAAATAGTTTTCAGTCGATTTCGGCTGAAAGAACGGAGTCTGAGAGTGGCGCTTCTACAGTTTCCGAGGTCACCGAAATCTCAGTGAACAAAAATATAGTGTAAGTTTGATCGTTGATGAGCAATTCTCGATTAATTTGAAACTTTCAGATTAGAAAATGTTGGTTTCGGAACGACCGAAGAAGACAAGCAAGACTATCAAGAAGAGTTGCTGTTGGATTTCCCGGATGAGGAGAGGAGTTCCATATTTAAGGTGCTTGGTGAAAGTTTTAGTAGCGTTTTATTGAACAGTCTGTTGTAGATTCCCGCCACAAACACGCCGGAGGATCTCAAACTGTTCGCTAGGTTATGTAGAAAAGGGTATTTCCAAGGGAACCATCACGTGGAAGAGATAATGTACTTGGAAAATTTGAGAAGGAGCCAATTGATGCAGCTGTTGGATAAATTTAGGGATGTTTTGATAACGTACGAAACCGAAGATCCGGCAATAGCGATGTTTTCTTGCTCTTCGTAGCCTCGAGAAGCGCAAAAGTATCGAGAAAAAGACTTGTTGAACAATTTTGTAGGTATATTTTTTTATAAATTTGTAATACCGGTGCGTAATTAATTAGTTCGAGTATAGAGAGGTTAGTGCAGATGTTTTTAAAACCTACATTCCACTAAATTAAGAAACATTTACGATTTATGTATCTATCTATATGATGTTTATATATCGTTTTACAACCATTTCAATGTTTACATTACTCATGATTTTATGTTTGGTTTTATTATGAAGAAATATTTTTTTTGTTGATTATCATGTAAATTGTATTTTGAATAATTAGTAACTTATCGTCGACATAAATGAATTCCGATTTTTAAAATTATTCATGTAATTTTTCCGCGTAAGTCCGATATCTCTTTTTGTTATTATTAATGTAGGTTCATGCACTGAATTATCAGTAACCAATAAACAGGCAGTTTTTTTTTTGTAATTATATCCGTTTATATTACTAATTCTAATCTAAAAGACAATGAAATTATACTATATACATATTGTAGCATTAAAACTATTTTCACTTTTTTTTTAAATTTACTATTCTACATTTTAAAAGTAAGAAAACTCATCTACGAATTACCCTCGAGCGCAAACCCGATTAATCCGCTTAAACGCATCACAAACTTTCGAGATTTTGAACAGTAGCTTTTCGCATCATCGACCAGAAATATTCTGTACAATCCTACACCTCCCCGTTAAGGCGCGATGGCAAATGGCAAACAACCTTCACCCCCAACAAAACTCGTCACACGCGAGTTTTGTCCGTTATCGTCACGTTCGCCGCCCTCCGTTTCAAGTTCGACGAGACGAACGTGACGCAAAAGAAACAGAATACGAACGACAGCAACGCGAACGCGTGCGCAGCAATGTAGCCCAGCGTGCCGATGAGGCCCTCGATGACCAGCGTAGCCGCTATGGCGAAGAAAAATATAACGGCGTTCAGAATGGAACAGCTCACCGATTCCGGAATCGGGTACGTCACCTCCAAGGCGTATTCGTAGCTCACGACCAACGTGCTCGCCGCGAAAAACCTGAAAGCCCCCATCAAATCAACCTACAGACCGACAGGAATAGCTGCAGACGCGAGCAGGATGACACACTAAACAATGCATGATGAGGAGAGGAAATTTCACAGGGAGAGATTGGAGTTGATTTCAGGAAAAATCCTGTGGAAAAATTCATGAAATTCACTATTCCAAACAACCTACAGACCGATAGGAATAGCCGTAGACGCGAGTAGGTTGTCACACTAAAGCTTGACGCCATTAGAGAGGGAATTAAACAAGGAGATATCGGAGTTCCAGGAGTAGGATTTTTTTTTGCATGCACATTACTTACCCGAACATGGGAATTGTGATGAACGTGCTGACCCTGTGTTGCAGCAAAATGGAGGCGGCCATCACGACGTAGGTCACAATGGCGAATCCCAGGACGCCGAGCGAGATTTTTCTGTAAAAATTAACAGTGAATCGAACGCGCGACGTGTGAGGCTTGGACTTACTTGAATTGGTGAGTTCTATCGAGCATCATGCCCCACATAAGGTTCCCCGCGCAACCACCTGCAATGATTGCAATCAACGATATAATCCCTATATCAGTTTGACCATTCTGGAAAGGAGACTGCGTGAGATGGGGAATTAACAGTAGCGCGTAGACTTACGGGGAAATAATGCGTGTACAAAGTATTCACCACGATTCCGAAGCTGTTCCATATACCGTTCGTCAGGCCGAAGGCGAACAGTATGATCAAATAGTCCTTGTTCTTCATCAGCACCTTGCACATGCTGAAAAACGATTCCTGCGGTCCATCGGATTGGGTCAGCAGATGCATTTGAGATCTGCTCGGCGGTAATTTCGGTCTCGCTTTGAAAACTGCAACGATACATTGTTTCGAATTTCGAAGAAGCCACGAAATCATCCACTAAAAGGGCTACGGAAAATCCCGGTTGTTACTTACATAGAAGGACGGTAATTAGAACGATAGCGCTCGGTACTACGTATATAATCGTCATATTGTACAAGCCCAATCCCACTGCCTCGTTGTCATCGTCGCCGACCAGAAACGGCGGGAAAATCGCCCCTAATGCCGACCCTGCAATCGACAATACACAAATCATTCCAATCCAAACATCACCCCATCACCCCTCGGAATGCTCAGGTCGATCGAGCAGTGTTTCGTGCGAAATACTTGTCTAGGATGGAATTGCCTCTTACCTAATTGGGTTCCCAGCACGGCCAAAGCGCAGGCGGTGGAGACTTCATTGGCGCCGAACCAGACCGAGGCGAATTTGGTGGGTATGCTGATCATGTAAACTTGCCCCACTGCACATAGCGCTTGTCCGACGAGCACCAGGTAGAACCTGGAGGGATGGGTGCTGAATATTTTGACCACGTTGCCGGCGAGCGTGAGGAAAGTGCTCACCACGGCGGTTATTTTTAAACTCTGTAAAATAACAACGGCGTGGAAATGCTGTGGAGGATTTTTGAGATTGTAAGTACGTACGTATCTTTCGATGAGGTAGCTGATCGGGAGGAATAGTATAATGTAAACGGCGAAAAATACTAATCCGCTTAAGTCTATTAAAGATGAATCGACAGAGTAGTATCTGCAAAACGGGTAAATATGCAAATTTATTCCATGGTGCGTGAATTGAAAAGTTTGAGTACCGCAATCTAGGAATTTTGATTGCGGTTTTTGATAAAAAAAACTCGTCATTGAATATTTACGATTGTTTTAAGCAGCGATAAAATACTTGACGGTTTATAGGAGATCTGTAAAGACAGGAAATGTGGTACTTACTTTGTTAATATATCAGCTACGATGGTGAATTCTAAAAATTGCATGAAATTTATCACGGTAAACAAACAAAATATGAACAATTGCACCCATCTGTACCCATATATCTTGATTTCCACGTCCACATTCCCGCGATCGCGGTCCATCTTGCGCGCGATACTGAAACGATGTCAACGTGAGTTAAAAAACATATTTTCGACCGGCGCTGTTTTGTTGTCGCGGTTGTAAAAAATATATTATTTCGAAATTTACCTAATCGTTGAAATTTTCGATTGCTCATCTGTTATTTCCATTCATTAATACAGCACGAAATTAAATACCATTATCGAGCGTATATCGACTTACCTGAGCTCAGCAAGGCGAACTAATGGGATATTTCGAATAAATTGCAACTTATTCGTTTCACGGTCACGACCGACCATAATAATTGGGTTTTAAGTGGCTACCTGTTTTCATTTTGTTAAATTTCATTCTCATTATCTTATCGGTTAAACACTTATAAAAATGATGGATCGTCTCAAACAATCATATTCGTTAACTGGCTTTTGCAATAAAAACTCGCCGGCGGTGTTTTCTAAAAAAAATTAAAATTACCATCTGAATTTGGAATCAACCATAAAAATTTATTAACACTTACCTAGTGATAAAAAACGACATAAAATGTGCACTACAGATCAGGAGACAATGTAGAAGCTTCTCGATAACACAAGAGTGGGGAGCTAAAGGAAAGTATAGGATGCACAAATTGACTCATCCAAGTTATCGTAATAAATAACATTCAAATTTCCCGCATTTTCACAATTGTATTTCCTGTTCCGGTGTGGCTAGTTCGCGAGCTAGTCAACAGTTGCGCAGTAGACGAAATTTACCTACAGCGCAGCGAGTAATTAGTTCGTGAACTGACCGATGACTGGTTGGGAATTAACCGGTTTGGGTTATGAATAAAGCGTTTTTTATAATAAAGAATTAATATAATTCACGAGGCATTAACAATTTTTTAGGTACCCAATACCTTTCGTCAACGAAATTGACTTAAAATTAACGTTTTAGAATATTGCACGTTTAATAATAAATATTAGTAGCATCAACTATGGAGAAATAATGTTTATATTTGATATACCGTCACCGTTCTAGGAACGAATTGCTCCCCATTCGACGAAGAACTCATTAGTGCTATTTCTTAATAGTTACGCTACTCGTCATAATCGCAATAATTGAAGTACTTGGATTCTTTTGAAAAACTAGTTAATTATCGCATTAAAATATTACTGGGTTGAAAAATTTAAGTTAAATTTAATCAATCATACAGGAAGATTTCTTTTGCATTAACTAGTCGTTCAAAATCTAAATACGTATAAAACTCACAAATTATAATCTTTTTTTCTTGTATAATCAGGTACTGAAATCATTCAATGAAGTAATTAGAGTGTGACAATCTAACAGATTGAGAAATTTCAATTGATATCACAACACACATTTTTTTTCAAACTTGTTTATCACAAATACTTTATACTTATCGACTAATAAATAAGCAAAAAACTAATTGATACAATAAATATTGATCGATCTTCAAAAATTGCGCTAAAAGTAACGACAAAATAAATTAAAAAAACGGTAAAGCCTGAGTAATGCGATAAATAAACCGTTATTTAAAGGAATGCGAAATATATTTTTTTAAATCTCCAAAAAACTCGAGCGCAGTAAAATCATTAATATTCGATGCTTTATACGAGATATGTAACTTCGATAAAACTTTTTGTATCTATTAGAAACAATTCCCAAAGTATTTTCCAATTTTACAACATCCAATTAAATTTATCGGGAACACATTCCTTTTTAAAACAACACGACAACACTATTCGACAATTAATCAATAAAACAACTATATAAAAATATTAAGCAGAGCCACGCTCCCGGTAATCCTTATACTAATTCAATAAGTAAATTTTCTCTCGTCTTCGCCGACCCATCTCACGAATACCATTAAAACTAACAAATATCATCGGGCGTTCCATCACGAGGTGGTGTACTTCCCGTTCTCGAACACCCCCTTGCGGAAGAACGGCGAGAAATTGATCAAGGCAACTTTGGTAACGGGCCCGCCGTACGCCAAAGGGCACGCCGGGTGGCTCTTGCACGTGTCGATCAACCTCCTCAAGTAGAATTCCAATTGGCGCTTCCTCGTCTGCGCCACGGTTTCGTTGTTGGAGAATATGATTCTCGAAGGGAACGGAATCGACGACACCTTCTCCCCGTAACGGGCCTTCATCGCTATGTGCAGGTCCCTGAAGCGACTGTACCGTCGCAGGATGCACCAACGATCGTCCGCTGTGTTTATTCGTATTTCGTACTCGTAGTGGGTTTTCGTGCCCGTTCCCCGAACGCAGTAGCTCGTTATTGACGCTATGGCGTCCAGATCGGTTTCTGAAATCAAATTATCTTATTTGTATCTCTCGCTAAACGCTCGAATAGGGGAACGAGGCCTTGCCTTTCATACCGCGGTATTGGACACTGACGTAGTAAAAGGCCGCAAGAGATGCGTTCGCCGAGTGCAAGTTCGGAACAATTCGGATCCACGCAAAAGAACGGACAATGACAAAACGATACGTCATACGTCAATTTGGATAATTTCCAAAATGGCGGACGACTTTCAATTTTAAATTTAAATCGCGAATGCGAGTCGAAACGAATTTAGCCGGGGAAAGGAGCCAAATAATTTAAAAAGAATAAAACTTTCTCATCAATAGGATGTCGCTTCGGACTTTAGAATACTCTACCTATATTAATGCTGGGCATCGATCTGCACATGTATTGATTCAAAGCCGGCAATCGTTGAATTTGGTTCTAAAAAAAACTGGATTAAAATCGCGCGTTTCGATGAAATTGGATACAATTACCTGCAGTATTGAAGGGTAAATAACCGAAGTGGAGCCCGCAAATAGGGGTCTTACAGGACTCGGACTGTCGGCGTCCTGCAAAGGATGATCTGAAGCAGGAACCAAGGACGTGGTAGATCCGTATTTAAGCGAAATGTATTGATGTTGCAATTCTTTCAGTACCTGCAGATGAACGCATAAAAATTTGTAAAATAGATAATATTTGAGCTACGCTAGATGATTCGATGAAATGTGTTATGGAAATGGAAAATTAATAAAATGCACAAACGTATATACAAAAATTAATACTACGAATAACACTCACTCGACATATCACCGTAAATTCTTTCCAACAAACCAATTCCTTAGCGAATTATCTGCATAATTTCAGGCGTACAATCGCGAGATAACCGCGAAATTCCCAAACAATTAATTTCTACTTACTGCCACTTGACTATCGAAATCGGCGTTCAAGCGGTGCCCGTCCAATATCCTACAGACGATTTGCTTTTGCTGGGCTATCCGTTGGGACAGTCTGCGCAAGTGTATTTCCGCGTCGCGGCGCCGAATTTTCCTGCTCGACGGCGATCGATTTTCAATCGAACTGCTCGATTGCGAATCGCTAACCAGCACCTGGCGATAGCGAACGACATGAAACAGAAGAAACGTACAAAACGGGTACAGATAGGCGGCGAATAGCGAGAATTTTTCGATGAAATTAACTATCCTCATATCGCACCGGCGTCCCTATCGTTTCGGTCGGGCGAAAAGCGAGTTTTCGAGTAATTCGCTAGGCTCTTCCCGCATTGCGAATGGTTAAATCACTCTGTTTTCGATGATACGTTACTTCCTGGTACAGATACAACAAACTCGATTGGCTCGTCAACCGTATAGTGCACGTAGAAGCGTTCAAAGAAATGCAATGATGTAATGAATCGTGAATGAGAAGTTTACGTACCATGCAAATAAATTATTAGAGAAACGGATGGACCAAAATATTCAGTCCAAGCACTCTAACTTAACTTTGATTAACTTTCACCAAACATTGGTCCATCCGTCCTTGATAAACCCGTTCCCTTTAGTACTTTAAAAACCCAAAAAAAGTGCAGGAAAAAAAGGGGGCGCTTTAGCGGTACCTTCTCCTCGTTACTGGACAGATCGCTCTCGTCCTGCGGGCGGGAGGAGGTGCGCAACTCCACGCCGCTGTCGCTCATCAAGCGATCTAATTTGGTGTCGGCTAGGCGCGGGGAGCAGGTGTTGGGCGCCGTGTGGTAGGTGGTATCACTGCTGAGCGTCTCCTGCAACCGTTCGCCGCTGCTCGAGTAGTTCACCTCGCAGGAATCGGGACTCTCCGCCGAGTTTACCCGTTTCAAATTCAACGTTAGCCTGCAGATAGACAATTATCGACTTATATAACGATAGTATTCCTACGTGTTTCTATATAATAATACCAGCATTTGGTCTTGGATCAAGCTTTTACAACTCTCTCCTACACTCTCCTAGAATGTGCTACAGTGCCCTACTCTATCCTACTCTTCTAGAATGTCCTACACTACCCTACTCTATCCTACACTCTCCTTTGATATACTACTCTGCCCTACGCTATCCTAGGGTTAAATTTTGTATACAATCAGTCCGTACTCTTGCTTTTTGATTTCGATTCTCTTGAGGTCCTCTTCGGTTCTGTTGCAGAGTTCCTGTTTCACGTTTTCCAGATCGTCGTTGGTATCGTTGATGGATTTTTGCTCGTCGACGAGACCTATGATTTTTTTATCCAACAGTTCTATGCTCTTCTGGCGTTCGCATAAGATTTGGACTCGCCTGTTGAGTTCGGCTTGTAATTCGGCCAGTTCTTTCCTCTGCGAATTGCGTTGTATTTAATCGGAGTTATTTTCTATTAGGGTTTCACTTACGTGCTTATCGACTATATCTTTTATGATGGAAGATCCTGAGAGGTTGTTGAGAATATCTACTAACGTGTCGTTTTCGTCTTCGGTTAATGTACCTTTGCTGGATTTACTACACAATTCCTAAAAAACGAGTACGAGATTGTAGATGATATTTATGATAAAAGTGCGATAAAAGAATTAAACTAAAAATACCTGGAAAACTGATTTAGCTTTCGCACTGGGAAACAAAATTTCATTAACATTGGATGTAACTAAACTGCAAGCATTCGCTAGTTTTACAAAAATATTTCTCTTAAGGTCCTCTAGGTTTGAACATTCATTTTCTATCTAAGAAAATAAAAATAAAATTACTAAACTAAGTTCTAATAACTTTCTAAATACAACAAGCAATGCAAAAATATTATATTCAGCTTACTTCCGACATGACAGTCTTCCTTTCTCTCTCCAATTTTTCCTTTCTCAACATCAATTCCCCCTCTTTTCTCTCCAGTTCGATTTCCTTCAGCCTCTGATGAGCGGACAGATTGCGCCAATCTTCTTGCAATTGGCGGGTCTGCAAACGAAATTTTAACTATATCGAACAAACGCCGATAAATACAAATACCTGTTGCGCGAATTCTTCCTGCACCTTCTTCCTTTCGGCCTCCAGTTTTGCCTGGGCCTCCAACAAAGAGCGTTTCTTCTCTTCGAACATCACCTGTTGCTTCTCGAAAGCCTCCTGTTTCTTCTCGAATTGCTCCTTCTCCTTTTTCAAGTCGAGCCGCTGGTTTTCTATGGCCTCTTTCACCTGGACCTTGTCCTCGTCATTGCTGCTGCTACTTTTATCAAATCCATTATTTCGATGAATATTACGGAGTATTAAAACGTTCTGAATGATTCTAAACAGTTCTAAATGATTCTAGACAGTTCTAAATGATTCTAGACAGTTCTGAATGATTCTGGAGCGTTCTAAATGATTACTTTTTGTGTTTTTCACGAATGTTATTAACTCACATTTGTAAATTCTCCATAGAAACGGCCAAATCGGGCGTGGACCAGCTCAAGCGACTGACTCTCGATAGATTGCAGGATTTTTCACCTTTTCGAAGTTCCGCCGCCTCGACGGGATCGTTGAATCTGAAATATGCCAACGTACAGTCCGAAAACGATAATAAATCGATATGCACCTATAGAGTTTAATGAAGCGGAGGACGCGAATATAGATAAAATTATTGATAACAAAATACTTTCCACGTGATATTTACAAAACAACCGTTCCAGATAATCCGACGCGAATCTTTGGTTTGAATAAAACGACATAAATCTAATAATATACGAGGTGGTTTAGTCTCTGCGCGTTAGTATGTACGAGGGATGCTTCAAATGTTCTGGGAATTACAAATGTTAAAGATCATCGGACATTATTTACCTAAAAGCGTGAACTTTGCCCAAAAATATGATGCAACCTTGCGAAAGTCTCGCTTCCGATTCGATACTGATGTTATTTAACATGACTTGCGCCCCGGGATGTGGAATGAGAGTGGCGACGCCATTTTCGCAGGTGATTGTACAGTGATGGGGTTTCATGCCGGCTCCTTTCAGTTCTATGTCCTGTTTCACCTTGGATTCGGCCGTACCGATGGTGGTTTTTCCCTCCTGGAATCGAAACGAAAGTAAATTCGGGTTCGAAAATTCGAAACATTCGCGCACCTTTAGATGGTACAAAGTAACTCCGGTGGTTAAAGGATCGTCTTCGATGGCGATCAAATGGGGTCGATCCGAATCCAGGATAACACCAGGACCGGATTTTCGCAAACCCAACGCCTTCTGTTCTCTGAGTATCGCTTGGACTTCCCTCCATTTTCCAGTCCACTCTTCCGTGAGCTCCTAGAAACGATAACTCGCATTAATAATTTTTTAATTGTTCAATCAAAGTTAAAAAACCTTTTCTAAAGCTTCTTTTTCGTACAATTGCTCCAACATGTCGCTTCTTTGTTCGCAAAACATCAACGCCCTGAGCTTAGTGATTTCTTCCCGTAATTCTCTAATTAATTTAACATTCGGATCTTCGTTAACTGTTGGTTTGTTTATGATATTCTTCGCCCTGTTTGCATATCTCAGAGTACTTAACGTTTCTCCGTAATTACAATCTGCATAATAACACAATCGTAAATATACAATAAGGTTTTTACTAGGATAATAATACCTGCAGGACTAATCGCAGCTATCATAATGGTCTTCGAGTTACCGCCAAGACTGTCTTTAAGCAACCACGTTAGGACGGAATCCCTGTACGGTATAAAAATAGATCTCTTTTGGCCGTTTTCGTCCAAAGACAGTTCCGCCAAAGCGGATATCACAGAGCCCAATGTAACCAACGATTTATTGATGTGAGCGCCCTCTTTCAGTCGTTGCCCGGAGGCTCCCGTAGCGTCAGCCCTTTCGCTCCCCGCCAAGTCCACTAGATGAATCTAGGCGATAAAACGTAAGTGAAAATAACACAAGAGTGGTTCGTATTTACTTTCGATACTGTTTCACTAGGAACTCCGTTGCAATAGCCCGCTTGAACGAACGTTATGGTAAATATCGCGTGGCTTCTGCTGCTGACGTCGTTCATGTTGGTCGAGGCCGTAGTTCGATGAGCGTTGCCCCTTTAACGATCAACCAAACGGTTATTTATATGCGATATTTGAAGTAAATAAATTACCTTTCCATGCATTCCTGTATGCGATTGTAATTGGTTACGAGGCAAGTGGTTAATCCCTGAACGTATGGTCCCTTGGTGGGGTGTTCTCTTACTTTTAGAGAGTATTTGGTTCTGCCTTTAAGCAAATCGACGACCCTTTCCTGGTAAATTTCCAAGTAGCTCACTTGGACTCTGTGTGTGGTTCCTAGTTTGGAATTCTCCGCCATTTTATCGAAGAGGGCTTTGCAAATGCGGGGAATCAGCCCCTCGTTTTCCTGAAAATGTGACTCAGGAATTATTTCATATAAGAGTTTTATTAGTAAAACTTACTGGTGATCCCATCATGGTGAATGTTTTCCCACTGCCGGTTTGTCCGTAAGCGAACACGCAAGCATTGTAACCCTCGAAAGCGCAATCGATAACTTCCTTGCCTAAATCATCGTAAACTAGATCTTGAGAGGCGTAATTGTTCGAATTTCTATCAAAGGACCAATAAGAGTAATCGAAAGTGAATTCCTTGTATCTGATACTTTCATCTCGAGTATTTGCCTAAAATTGATATGACAGTGTTAGGAAATTAGCCATTTGAGGTGACATTCTAATTACACTTACTTTACAATTCAAAATTCCAGTTGTTTTTCCTTTCATCTGGATTATCAACTGGGCATCCATATCAATTTCCCTGAAATATTCAATACGTACATTGGGGGAAAGGGAAATAAAATTGGGATTCTGCAACGTGTTATATTGTTGGACATTTTTTTGTAATATTCTCTTTAAAAAAGTTCCTCTGGTTTATAATTCATTGAACTTTTTGTGCACTGAACCATGAATTAAAAAAAATAACGTACCTTTGGTTAAAGGGCCTAACTCTGACTGCTACCTTAACCGATGCCATTTTACACCATAAAATAGTTACAGAAAATTACTAAATTAAATTATATTAAAAGCATTTTTTTAAATTAAACTAATTATTGTTATTGTAAGTTTAGTAGGCCTTGTACAATCATCAACACAACAAAAAACTAATTGTCAATGTCAATTGTCGAATCATGACGTTTCTCTCTTCTCTCTCTAATGTTTTAAATAACTGCTATAATGTAAAGTAAAAGTACCGACCATTTGTCAAAATTTATTTTCATTAATTTATTTATTAATTCTTCAATAAATTAGATGTAAGAGTAATCAAACATATTGTTTGTTCAATATTGTTTTACAAAGTCATCAATTGGCGATAAATTGGTCCAAAATCACGAAGATTCAAGTGGTCAATTAAAAACCCGTTCGAACGGTCTAATAGACACTTCCAACTTCTTTCCTCAATATTTGTTTATAAAAAAAAACTTTATCAAAAAAGTTGTACATTATTAGGAATACCTTAATCTACAGTGAAATTTTAGTCTGCTTTATCAGTGAAATCTTAATGGAACACAATAGATTAATTCAATTTCCATTATCAGACAATGATGAACCGTAGGTTATAAATGTCATAAAAATAGTTTAAAAACCAATTGACCAAGATGAGTAAACACATGTATTCTACGGCGAATCTAACAGATAAGGAATTGAAAGAACAAGGTAACCGGCTGTTTAATCTTAGAAAATACGAAGAAGCCATAAATTGCTACAGCAAAGCTATAATAAAGAATCCAGACATTGCACACTACTTTACGAATAGAGCGCTGTGTTACCTCAAACTGTTGAAATATGAGCAGGCCTGTGTGGACTGCCGCAGGGCGCTCGACATGGATTCGAACCTGGTAAAGGGCCACTTTTTCCTGGGCCAAGCTCTCCTCGAGAGCGAAAACTACGACGAGTCGATCAAGCACCTACAACGAGCAAACGATCTGGCTAAGGAACAAAAACTGAACTTCGGCGACGACATAGCGGCCCAACTAAGAGCCGCTAGGAAGAAGAGATTCTCCATTCAGGAGGAGAAGAGAATATCGCAGGAAATCGAGCTCCATTCTTACTTAAATAAGCTCATAGAGAAAGACAAGGACGAAAAGGTGAATTTGATCAAGATCGAGGGAGGGGACAACGAGAAAACCCGCCAGAGGATCCAAGACGTCAACGAAAAGTGCGATAACTACTTGAGCGAGCTCAATCAGCTGTTCGTGAAGGTGGACGATCGAAGGCGAAAAAGAGAAGTGCCCGATTACCTATGCGGGAAAATTAGTTTCGAAATCCTCCAGGAACCCGTTATAACGCCTAGTGGGATAACGTACGATAAAAAGGACTTGGAGGAGCACCTTCAGAGAGTCGGTCACTTCGATCCCGTCACTAGAGTTAAACTGACCCAAGACCAGTTGATTCCGAACTTTGCTATGAAAGAGGTCGTTGACGCGTTTTTGGCGGATAACGAGTGGGCTTTGGACTATTGAAAATGCATTTTGTATTTGTTAATATTGAAACGAAGCCGTTAATTAGATTTTTTATTACTTAATTTGTCTTCCTGTTAATCCGTTCGTTAAAAAAAAAATGGTGTTTTGAAACGCCTCGACGATTTTATTTTTTGATAGTCTCTAGAAAATCGCGTTTGTTTAGAATTAGGTCGATTTAAAAAAATGTTTTCTGTAAAAAAATTCACGAGACTATTGACGAATAAGAAATCTATTTATAGCAGTTCGATGTTGACAAAGCCGATTTTAATTGTATTCAACAAACATTTTCGTTGTGGCTTTGTTTTCTTATTCTTACATTAAAATGTATCCGTTTATAAATTGTTTCAAGAATTTTAATTTGTTTTTTTGTGTGAAAATTAACAAACCCGTCGATTGCTCAAGCAACAACTAATTGGAATTCTTTACATATAAGTGAGAAAAACTGATAGATCTTATATTTATTTTATAAAATAAATAACAGTAAAGTATGTACAAACATAACCAAGATGTATCCTTAGTCTTAAATGAGTTGCGTAAGGCAGATTTTCTTCGTTATTGGCACCCTTTTCCCCCTTAGCCTAGCGAAATTCTGCAATGTTAACCCATCAAATTATCCATTATATAAAATTTATTCAATTGATCTTCCTACCAGAAAGTGATTACACTAAAAGAAAATACCGCTCGAAGTTAAACTAAGTAAATCAAAAAGCGTGCAGCGTTGTAAGAATGAACTTGACTCGATGTATTTAAAACGCAGGCGCGGTAGTCGAATAAATAATTTGATAAGTAACACTCGCCATTACAGAATAGCAAACACGCAATCATCTAAACCGGTATATCCAGATTATGTTTCTCAATATACCGCTTTCTGGCGCTAGCCAACAGTTGTTCTTTACGCTCTTGGAAGGATCTGCTACGTTCGCTGGCCGATTTGGGAAACGAAGATGCGGCCGTATTGAACAAAGGTTTACCAGAAGAGCACACGCTCGAAGCCTGAGTACCCACAGATACAGAAGAAGACGTAGAAGGCTGGCTGGCGGTACTGCTCGTTGGCTGCTCGGGCGTGAAACTCACCCGACCTTCTAGTATGTTCGTGATGGTACTGTCCACGTTCCTCGTCATATCTACAAGTCGATATAGTATAGAACTTAATAGGTTACATTGCGAATTACTTACACAAGTCGCTGTAGATAACGTTTAGAGGAACGTGAGGTAGGACCTCTTTGACTTGTTTGCTCATTCTCTGGAGCTCCGGGTTGATGGATCTGGTGGTGACGCGATGTTGCGATCGTACCGGTGGTTCGGCCAGAGTGCGTTTCTCCCATTCGGCTATATCGCTCGAGGTAAAATCGGTAGTTTGAACCTAATCGCAAACAATAATTTATTGAGCTACTAAACAAATGGTAGAAGGATTTACCTTCAAGGACGTGGCGATATTTTGCCTGACGATTTCGCCGAACTCTTCATCGGACATGCTCTTCTTTTCGAGTGGTGGCAAAAAGGTGAGCTTGTAATTGGTGATGGGGGAGAAGAGATAGTACAACATGTCGCTGGTGAACGTAGAACCGACCGTGGTGATCGATACGTCCAAAAACGGACGGTCTATTTTAATACAGATTGGTTGGACCTGCAAGGATAATTGATGAACAAATAATTCATATTTTACACATGAGATACTGACTTTGTTTGCAAACTCGAAAGGATATGTCTTGAATTTTAAAAGACCTCTGCCATTGGTTATTTTCTCCTCGGGTGCAAAGTATATGGGTATCTTTTTATCAGCCATAAATTGTTTTATGTTGTTTTTAAAGTTATCTAAATTAGTCGCAGAACCGAAGCAGTAAGTACTAAGACCTAGGATTTTTTCTAAAGTTGTTCTGCAACTCGGCTATAAAAAGGAACTTTTTTTAATGTAATTTCTTTAATGTAATTGGTATAACTTACCGATACGGCGCCTGTAGCACTGCATACAGCTATTTGATCGAAAATAGATAAGCTATTGCTAACATATACATTAACATTTTCTTTGCTTTTAGGATTTTCAATATGTATCGATATGCCTAAGCTTAAACACGCTATTTTATTAATAAACTTTTGCGGGGCGGGCGTATCAGGTAAAACTTGGCCAAGGATAAAGAGACCTAAGAGTAGTATGGATCTTAATAAAATTAAAATTAATCCAATAGGACAGTAGAGTATGAAAATTAAAAGGTTGCCATCATTGTCAGGAATCCTGGAATGTATTCAATTAGTCGTTATTATTAATATTTGCCGTTAACTTACCGATTTTTCTTAAGCAACTGTCTAATTTCTAAATTTGCCATGTTTATAAAGGTTGTTGAAATATTTAGAAAGGTCAGTAAAATATTAACATATTTGTACGAAAAAAAGTGGTTAATTGAGCATTTGGTCTTTTTCTATCCAAAAAATTCCAAATAGCAAATGATATACATAAGGTTTTGCAGCAAATATTACTCACTACCAATAATTTTTATAATATTTTGTCGTACATCAACCTCAAAGTATCGAAAATTTGACAACTGGCGAACTGGCTGAGTTAATTTTTAATCAACTTATGACAATTGACAAATCGAGAATAATTATAGAATGCTCCAGTGTCGCTTGGATTATTTTTTGTTTCCCTTCAACCTTCACTTTTTATGTATTATACCTCTTTTTAATCGATCATTTCACTCCAACTAATAACAAACTGTCATTGTCGAAATTTGACATTGACTTGACAGTGACAAACATGTGATGCGATTGTCATTATAAATAAATATTTATGATTGTTTATCTGTGCCCTTTTTTTCGTTAGAATAAGTGGGTTCTCTTGGAAGGTTTAAAATTTTAAAGTGGTATAAAGTGCACTGTAATTAATATTAAATAGAGTTGCGTGTTCATAAAAATGTCAAGGATTTTTTTAGTTGAACAAAGAAGTGATAAAAATAGTGCCAATACATCGTAATCTCAAACGAAAGAACGATATCTCATAATAGTAAAATTGAACTCAAAATCATGGAAAATTCCCCAGAATCGGATAACATTGCAACTTGTCAGGAAAACTGCTGTGATGTCCCCACGAAGCCCCTTTTAACCGAAGAAAGAATGCGCAGAAAACTCCAGTTCTTCTTTATGAATCCAATCGAAAAATGGCAAGCTAAAAAACGATTCCCCTACAAATTCGGCGTTCAAGTTATTAAAATCATACTCATCACGATGCAATTGTGTCTATTTGCTCATTATAGATACAACCATGTAAATTACACTTGGGACAATAGGATTACTTTTTCGCATTTATTTTTAAAAGGTAATTGATACTCACACTCCTATCTTTGTCAATAAATTCAAACTTGTTCGTATTTAAAAAAAATCCCCTTGTTAATTATAATTTTTTTAATGTCTCATAACTCATTATTATGAAAATGTGTTGCATAACATTTCTTATCTAAATATTCTAAAATTATAGAGTTAAAGTTAATAACTCCATAATTAATAATAATTATGTTTTTATTTGCACGTACAAATTGAACTTTGATCTTTCTTTAATCCAAAATTACTCGACATACTCTTATTTACGAACGATTTTAATTCATTTCGACAGGTTGGGATACAACCAGGGAAGTAAATGCCTACCCACCGGCTACAGGGCCTCTGGCAATCTACCGAGTAGACGATTTTTACGCGACCATCGATTACGCTTACTCGGGCTACGCCAACTTGGATAAAGCCGTAGGGCCGTATTCCTACGCGAACGAAGACAACACGATGACAGACATGTTATTGTGCATTTACCAATACAAAGAGGGCATCATATTCGGTTTCAACGAATCGTACATATTCAACAGCGAAATCGAAGAGAAATGCATCAATATAACGCAACCGGTTAACGGTTCGCTCGATTCCAAATCGTACATGACCGACTTCGATTTAGGCTTGAATTTCTCGGCGTTGGTTCGAGCCGAATTGATATTTTCTCTGAAAACGGTGAACTTCAAAGCAGCCGGTAGGATATCGCCTCCGAATTGCTACCTGTTCAATATCGTGATAACCTTCGATAACGAGGATCACGATGGACAGATGGTCGTCAGCTTGGACGCCGATCCCATCCGCTTGACCTGCAAAGGCGACGTTTCCTACATCAAAGACAACGAAATCGAATCGATACTGCGAAGCCTCCTCAACTATTTGGTGATACTCATTTGCGTGACATCGTTTGTGCTGTGCTCGCGGGCCGTGTGGAGGGCCCATCAACTGAAGAACATCACCAATCGGTTCTTCGTAAACAGGTTCGATCAGGAGTTGAGCCACACCGATAAAATGAAGTTCCTCAATCTTTGGTACATCATGATCATCATCAACGACGTGCTAATAATCGTCGGATCGGCCATCAAGGAGCAAATCGAGAAAGAGCAATTCGCCAGCGACCATTGGAATATTTGCAGCTTGTTTTTGGGCATAGGGAATTTGTTGGTGTGGTTCGGGGTGTTGAGGTACTTAGGGTTCTTCAAGACTTACAACGTGGTGATTTTGACCCTTCAAAAAGCAGCTCCGCAAGTGGCGAGGTTCTTGTTGTGCGCTCTGTTGATTTACGCGGGTTTCACGTTCTCGGGCTGGTTGATTTTGGGGCCGTATCATCTGAAATTCCGGTCGCTTTCGACCACATCGGAATGCTTGTTTTCGTTGATCAACGGAGACGACATGTTCGCTACGTTTTCCATTATGTCGAACAAATCGCCGCTGTTGTGGTGGTTCAGTAGAATATACTTGTACGCTTTCATAAGCTTGTATATCTACATAATATTGAGCTTGTTCATATCGGTAATTATGGACGCTTACGACACGATAAAAGTTTGTTACAAAGAGGGTTTCCCGAAAACGAGTTTGGAGTGTTTCATAGGAGAGACGAACATCGAAGACGTCTCGAGCGGTCTGTTTAGAACGGACTCGAACGATAGTTTGGGCGGTCTAATGAAGGATCTCTGCTGTTGCAAGAGGATCCACAGGACCTACTCGACGTTGAGATCGAGCACCCAATCGAGGGCGACTATTTTAATATGATGCAATCGTGTAAAACGTGTGATAATGATATTATATTGTACCGAGATAATCTCATTTCTGTTGTGAATTGTGATTGGTTCTTCTGTTGATGGTTATTTAGTTGTATGTAATGATTTTATTTAGAATTTTATAGTGTTAATTTACGAGAGTTATCCACATAAGGTTACCTAAAATTATGTACAAAATGTTTATTTTAATATGGTTACCCGTTGATTTTATTGAGAAGCCAAACTAATGATGCCGTTCAACATTCATTTATTTATAACATACAAAACATATATTTTTTCTAGTTAACTACACATTTAATTTGATTGTTCAGCTTTCAAAGATTTGGTAAATCTTGGAAAGAAGAACATAATTAAGCAGTTTTAAAAATATCCATCTTTCAATTTTTTTTGAAAGCAAACAAATCGCAAATAATTCAATGAAAATTTTTAAAACTTGCGGATTAAAATATACGAACTACATCACAATTTGAAAAAATTAAAATAAATAAAATATACTATTTTCATAAAATTGTAACAATGTATAGGATTGAAAATGTTTTAGATGTATAGTAAAAATACAAATTCTAAATTATGTAAAAATAAAATATATTTTTGGACTTTACTTTCTTCTCAGAACTTTTATTACAACCTCTTTCTGCCTGGTGTATGAAGTAGAGTTATAATTTTAAATTAAAAATATATTAAAGCTTCTACAAGGTACGTGCTTCTTTTAATGACAAATTTAAAGATCACAGCTCTACAATGTGTTACACGAGTGCAAAACCTCTGTTTAATCTTTGTAAAATTTCTTATTTGCACCGTTTTTGAGATCCATAAAGTGCTGTAATCAGTGAGCGAATCACCCTCTAAAATATTGTTTTGAAACACTGATATAATATATGGAATTTGACCAGATTAATCACGAGTAATAAACTTAATATAAGCAAAAACTATAACATACGATATTAAACAAAAAATGCATTTTAATAGCCAACGGTTTCGGAAGAAATGTATTCAGATAACCATTTAGTATCTAATACAAACAATGCAGCCGCTTCCCTAAAACTAACATATCCAAAATAGGAGAATTCCAGTGTAGGTACATGTAAAAAATGGAATAAATATAGAAGGAAAATGCAATAGATTCAATTACTACTTAACATAGCTTGAATCTCCACGATACTTTTGTTTTTCGTTTCCGGAACAAATATATAAACGAAAAATATCCCAATCATCGAAGCCGATGCAAAAATATAAAACGTACTATCCTGTCCGATGTAATTCGAAACTTGCAAATAGAACCTGGTCAATATGAAAGCCAAAAACCAGTTGACCGTACCCGCCGTAGAACTCAGTATACTCTTAATTTCCGTAGGGAATATCTCCGAAGACACCACCCACGGTATGGGCCCCAAACCGATCGAGTAAGCGATGATAAAAACGCAAAGCGCCCCCACCGGCAGAAATCCCAATTTCGCGATGACGCTCTCGTCCACCTCCGTCCTGTTCTTCAGAGTGAAAAACGCCCCCAAAAGGAACATAGTAATGGTTATAAACAGCGCGGAAACGAACAGCAATATCCTCCTTCCCAATCTGTCGATGACCGAAGCGGAAACGAAAGTAGTAACGGCTTGGAAGAACCCCACCAGTATGGCGGCGTCGTGGGGATCCAATTTCACTCCGGACGTTTTGAACACATCGGTCGTGTACAAAATAATCGCGTTGATGCCGCTGAATTGCTGGAAAAACATCAACGAACAGGAGATAACGAAGGCTTTAACCACGTGAGTTTGCTTGAAAGTCTCCGTTAAGGACACTGTCGCTTGGATGCTCTCCTTCAAATAGCCTTCGATTTCGTTCAATTCCGCGTCGATTTTGTACCGTTCGCCTCGTAGAGTAATTAGCGTTTTCTTCGCATCATCGTACAAACCGCGTTTCAGCAGAAACACAGGCGATTCGGGTTGAAAAGCGAACGTTACAACGAATACAAAAGGCAACGAAGCGCACCATATCGTAAAGTGTATCGGCGACAAATACTTCCCCGTTATGTACGCCAGGAATATACCGATGGTCACCATCAACTGAAAGTAACTCCCCAGCGTTCCTCGCAGCGTTTTGTGCGCTATTTCGCTGGTGTATACGGGGGCGGCGATGCAACAGGCGCCCGCCGCCGCTCCCGTCAACAACCTACCGAAATACAGCATTAGAACGTGGTGGGCAAATATAATCAACAACCAGCCGACTGTGAACGGTACGAACAGCAATAGTAGAGTTTTCTTTCGGCCGATTATGTCGCAAATGAAGCCCGTTGGTATGCACATGGCCATTCCTCCGAGGGTTACAAAGGAGCCCACCCAGCCTATCTGATCGCTGTCTATCTTGATGTCGTTGAAACGGCCTGCTTCGAGCTCGTTGAGAATCGGAGACGTCCAGGCCAGTACTGCCCCAGCGGCCAGGGCTGAGATGGTGGCTGTACAATAAGGACTAGTAAATTCGATTGTCTATTAAATTTATCGAAATTCGTACCTGAAAAAGCGGCGACATGTTGCCTAAACGTCTTCGGTTTATCGTAAGGGGATTCCTAAAAATAGCGCGGTATTGTAAACGTTGCATTAACATGGTAATGAACTGTTATCTATGTGTGTAAAATGTAGATTGATCGTTCTTAATGGGAAAACTTACCGATGATTCATAGCCGGATTCTGGCGATGCACTCGATAGGGCGGCGTTATCTATTAAAGAATACCTATCTTGACTCATCGCGTGATAGATAAAATCCGCCAAATAGTACGTTTAAATTCGGTACTTGTTGTTATTTGTGTCTTGCATCAGCTGTTGGTGACGTTGATTGAACTTCTGACAGTTGACATATCGTGTCGCAATAATCAAATAGTAAGAGGCCGCAAACAAAATTTAAATTTACCGCGGTTTCACGCATATTTCACAAAAATGAAAATCAAAGTAAATTAATAAGCTGTATTCTATTCGATATAAACTTAACAAATATCACTACCGTCCCATTATAAGATTAAATAATGATTTACAAGGTTCAAGTAAACTGTATGCGACATAAACGAGTAAAAGGACGGTTAGAGCTACCCAGCCCCTCGAGTGCGCCCCCATCAAGTATTCCAATCCATAAACTAAAGTAGCAACTCCGATAATGTACGCTGTTATACCGATGAAAATATGCAGAACTTTCACAATCATCGGGCTTACTCTCGGCATGCTTCTCGAATAATACGCAGTGATTCCCCCGATCAAAGCTACGAAGGATATCACCCAGCTCGACAAACCTATCAGAAAATATATTAGTTACTTGCAAACGAATCGATAATTAAACGTATTCACCTAATTGCGAGTGAATGCTCTTGAAGTGCTCGGTTTTGGTGCTAATTTTCAGCGATATTCCGGTGGTAATGCAGACGAAACTAAACAGCATTACTACAAGATGAGCGATTCTTTTTTCATCCCTCGTATCTCCGATTGTTACTATGCTTTGTTTACGATAAATTTGAACTCCTTCTGCCATGCACAAGGCAACCTGAAATTATTCACAATTTTAGTTTGATATATTGCTATTTTGCGTACAAATTTGCACTGTATAGTGTTTCCAAAGCCAATTGAAGAGATACTAAACCCTAATATCAAGTCATCAAGGAATTAATAGTCCCTATAGCAGGATTTAAAAAGTTATAGAGATTAAATGTACATTACTTACGCCTAAAACATTTAAAATAATGTGCCATGTGTCTTTGGAACTAGCCGGATAAGCGTTGGATTTGAACAATTCCCATATTATTAACAGGAAAAAGAGGACCAAAATTTGTTGAAACAATACTTCCGTAACTCTAAATATTGCCTCTTTGCTGGGCGCAATCAACATCGCCATGGTTTAGGTAAACTTTTGTAGGTAAACTTTTTTCCCTGAACATTCGGGTGTATAATATAATAAAGTGATTACACGAAAGATCGTTATCTTATATTTAATTTAGATACTAATAAATCTATTTTACAGCCAAGGCGACATTGCTTTAGATAAGAATTTTGTTGAAAAAAAATGACAATTAGGTATGATCTCATCAAGGTTTTGGATTTTCAGTAATAAATATGAAGCAGAGATATCGAGAGTTGTAATCAATCATAATTAAATTCCTTAATACACCTAATAAAAATATATTGGAATAAATAAAATAAATAATTTTTTATACTTACTCCTAGTACACATAAAATCACATGCCATGTTTTCTTAGTATCTATGTCGTATTTTGGAGACTTGAACAATTCCCATAGTATTAATAAGACGAAGACGGCTAAAATTTGTTGAAATAAAAGTTCAGTGACGTGAAAAAATTTTTCCTTTTTCGACGATACCATGATTGCAGTTAATTTTGAAATGATATCTCGTATCGATAAATATTAATTAATATAGACAGCAGCATCGGTAGAATATTTGATTATAAGTTAATAATGACGAAACCAATATAAAATTAGGTATTTTTAATTAGATAACAAATAAATGAGACTGATTTTATTTATCAATATTGATAATCTTACATTTTTAAACGTATGTAGATAAACACCTAGAAGTAATTTGCAAAAGAATTCGAAAAATGACAGTAATATATTAAGTCGGTTAGGATATGTTAGAATTTAAATTTTATGTAAATCCCCGAAAAGTCCCTTTTTATACACATAAATGCAAAATTTATGTGTTTACCGTTTAGCTTCGACATGAGAGACCACTTTTAATAAAAAAGAAGCGGAAAAAACTTAAAAACTTAACCTCATTTTTATTTAAATTGAAAGGTGCAAAAATTACAAAACGGTTTTCGCTGTTTATGATCATTTTGTGATTTATATTCTGTATATTTTATAAGATGTGATTTATTCTAATGGTTTTTAAGCTTTAGAATTTTTCAGTATTATTTTTTTTTTCCTATTAACTTAATTTTACAACTATTATGCCATGTAAAACCACATGTTTGTACAGAAACTGCTCTTCGCAAAGTTCCAAGGAAGTTTTTCGCTTCTTTCCGTTACCAAAAGACCCCCAAAGGTATTTAACAAATAAATAAATTTTCTACATTTTATTGTTTTATTTACAATTTGTCGTTTGTAGACTTCGATTGTGGCTCGAAGAATGTGATAGAAAAGACCTGTTACCTAAAAGCCTCGAAAAGCTACACAATGATTACAAAATTTGCGAATTCCACTTTGAACAAAAATACAAAACAAGGGATGAGAAAACGGCAGAATTATCAGAAGATGCTATTCCTACAATATTCGTACATCGAAAGTCTACAAAATTACCCGAAGAATTGGTTTATCATAAATGTCAATCTGGTAAGTATTGGGGTTAAAGTTTGTAGATTTTGAAATTTCTTATTTGTTAATCTATTGCAATGTTTCTACTGTTATTTCTTTCATTAAAGAAACTATTACATATAAATTTTCGCTTGTTTGTTATGTGCATATTGGGCTGATATGAATATTTCAAAAAGTTTACATTTTATCAAAGGTAAATTAACTTATTCAAATCGCGAAAAATAAAAAAAAAATAAAAATGTATTAATATATTTTTGTTTTGGAATAATTTGATATTATGCAACGTTATTTTTAATACAAGTTTTCAATTTCATCATCATATTTGAGCAAGTAATAAAAACAATAACAATACAAAAAAAACTTATCACATTAAGAAAATAATATAAATGATAATTGTATTTACCAATTATTTGCTTATACTTAATAGTATTAATATGATTTATTAATTCAAATTTTAACACAATATTCTTTTACGTAGGTTTCTAATGTGTTATATTCTTAGAAAATCTAATCGGTTATATTAAAATCCTATAGAGAACTTAAATTAAAATATTACAATCTAATATATTGATAACTTCCTGACCTTAGCTTTAGATAAGCAACATTATAAATAGAAGTATTTCTAAATAATAGTTACTTGATTTAGGCATTTTCGGCAAAATGGCCACACCGACATCGAAAGTTTTATCGGGAGTACAAATCGCCGGGTAAGTTACCATTACAGTTTTTTTCTCATGAAAAAACCCAACAACAAATTCTACAGATAAGTGCAAATTTGTACTATAGGTAAATATAGGTATATGGGTCTCATATAAAGAAAAAATAAAAAGCGATATTACGGGATTGCAACTTTCTCACTCTAACCACTGTTATTTTCTATAATCCTTCTTTGTTCCAATCATAGAATTCACCATATTTGCACTTACCTATACAACACTAACTGAATAAACATCATTTACGTTGTTGTTTGCTTCTATTTCAGGGAAATCACAGAGAACCTCAAGCGTACCGTCCAACAGATTCGAGAGCAACTGCCCAATTTCCAGCCAGGCCTGGCCATTCTACAAGTAGGAAATCGAGAAGACTCTAATGTATACATTCGCCAAAAAATTTTAAACGCCTCGAAAATCGGCATCAAAGCGGAACACATCAAACTACCAACGAGCACTACAGAAAGAGAGGTAAGAGTAGAGCAGATTCAGAGTAAAGTAGAGTAGTGTGGGGAATTCCTGCAAGGGATGCGTGGGGTAAATTTCAGAAAGTTATAGCTAAGTAAATAAGGGGTACTGCTATGTCAAGAATGAGGATAGATTAGCAGGCGATTCGATTTTGTATTAACAATTAACAAAACCGTTCTCATAGGTTCTAGATAAGCTCGAAGAGCTAAACAATGACCCCAACGTACACGGCATTATCGTGCAAATGCCGTTGCATTCCGACAATAAAATCAACTCGAATTTAGTGACGGACTCCGTCTCGCCCGACAAAGACGTCGACGGGTAATTTACATTTCCCCGCATCCCCCGGTTGTCTCTAAACCCCATTTCTTCCGCAGATTGAACACCATCAACGAAGGGAAAGTGTCCATCGGCGAGCTGAACGGCTTCCTGCCTTGCACCCCTCACGGCGTCATCGAGCTGATCAAGCGATCCGGAGCGCCCGTCGCGGGGGCCAACGCCGTCGTTTTGGGGCGCAGCAAGATCGTCGGCACCCCGACGGCGGAGCTGTTGAAATGGCACCACGCCACTGTGACCGTGTGCCATTCTAAAACGAAGGATTTGAAGAAAGAGGTGGGTTTGTAACGATTGTAAAGATTCGCCACGAATCGCGCTCGGTTTTTTTTGCAGTGCAGAAGGGCCGACATCCTTGTGGTGGCGATCGGTCAGCCGGAGCTGGTCAAAGGGGATTGGATCAAACCCGGCGCTGTTGTTATTGACTGCGGTATTTCTGCTATACCAGGTAAGAGGCCGTTTTAAAATATTCTCGTTTTGTTCACCCTCTATAGAGGAGAGCCCTTATCGCTTATCGTAGAGATAAGATTAAAAAAAGGAGGCGATGTTTTTGTGTTAGTGTTTTTATTCGATGGGTACTATTTTAGTCATTAAAATAAAAGTAAATACAACAATAAACATTGTGTCGTTTAGATTAAATAAGGCGTATCCAATTACTGGTATATTTTATCCTTTAAGAGTAGTATTAAGTAGTAAATAATAACGTAATTATACCGTTAGAATATTATATCATACTTATTAGCATATTAATTTGCATAACAAGTCTGTTGAATTATATCTAAGACTAGAAATCAATCTTATATTTGTTGATTCACGCAAGCTTTACTCTGTGAGATAGTGGAAGATGGAGAGACAAGATATTTCTGGTAAGATAAATTAAAATTAATTGAAATGAAAATTACGCTAGTTTACAAGGTTTTGTACAAAAAAAAAATGCTATATCCCCTTTAAAATAACGTAAGGTAGACTCGGGCAAATGTAAAAATGGGGTAAATGTAATATTTTTACCTATTATTTTAATGTTTTTATTATTTTTGTAGTTCTTTTGTGTATTAGACAGGGTTTGTTTCTTATTGTTTCTTTATTATTTTGTAGCTCTGTTATTTTTTGAAATAAATAAATAAACAGCATATCAAATTTTAGAGGAACCAAATATGTTTTTACAATTACCCCTTATGTTTTTTCTATATAATTGTATTGCACTTTAGAACCCCATGGTAGGGGGTAAATGTAACATATTGTCAACATTTTAAAAAATATGTAAAATCGTTTTCTTCCTTTAAAAAAAAAAAATTTAATACCTCGATTCTTTAGTTTAGGAAATTGTGAATTTAATGTGGCATCAGCATTTCTAATAAGAGAAAAAATAAAGCCACATTTTAGGATTTAATTTGAACTATTCAAATTTTACAACCGATTTGTCCCAGTCTACCTTATATTTTTACAATTGAAATGGCCGGAATATCATTGAATTTATTCCGCCTATCTCTAACGCTGCTATTACAATGTTTGCATATTTCAGTTAATTAACGATATCTTTGTTTTGTAAAAAACGACTGCGTTATTTAGCGCGTTATTTGTCAGACATAAAAATTTAATTGTATGCTAATGGACGGGTGGCCGATATATTAACAAAAAAAACCGATTAATTATATAGATAAACTTTAATGCACATTTTAGTATAATGCGAAACTTCGCATTTGGTTCGATTGACACCCGAAAGGTTTCCAGCGGAAAAATTTTTAGTAAGCGCTCCGCCGAATCGGGAGTTTCTCTCACGAACCATCGGAATATTTTCACGTAGCGTTCAATCTCGGCACGGATTTTCCGTTTTCGCGAATACCCCGAATACCGGCGGGTTGCTGATAACGATAATTCGCAGATCCGTCGAAGAAGAGCGGCCAGCGGCTCGTCGGCGATGTGGCCTACGCCGAAGCCAGCCAAGTAGCTTCGCATATAACCCCCGTACCAGGCGGCGTGGGACCCATGACGGTAGCCATGCTGATGCGAAACACCGTCGAGAGCGCCCAGAAGATGGCTCAAAAGATTCTGAACAAGTCCTGGAATTTGACGGCGTTGCCGTTGAAGTTGAAGACTCCGGTGCCCAGGTGAATATTTCGCACTAATTTTATGTATTCGTTGTAATATATGGTGTTTCCCGTAGCGATATAGAGATAGCTAGAGCTCAAAAACCGAAGAATATTTCGCTGTTGGCGGAAGAAATAGGACTGGTACCTTCAGAGTACTCTCAATATGGTAGTAAAAAAGCGAAAGTTGCTCTATCCGTATTGGATCGCTTGAGTAGCCAGAAAAACGGGAAATATGTACTTGTCGCAGGGTAATAATAATCTTATTACATCTACCTTACTTCACGTTCTATATCTTCTTCTATATCATTCTCAGAATGACTCCTACACCTCTTGGAGAAGGAAAAAGTACCACTTTATTGGGACTTGTTCAAGCGCTGTCCACTCACCTCAAGAAAAATACTTTTGCCACCATGAGGCAACCCTCCCAAGGACCCACCTTCGGCATTAAAGGTAAAAATACACTACAATTGTACCCTGACCTATCAAAATAGTCCAAAGACACAATCGCCCAAAGACAAAATCCCAAAAACATAAAACAACCCAAGATAAAAATAGCCCAAACATAAAACAACCCTTAACTTTCCTTTCGGAGCAGTATATTTTGATTGGGCTATTTTGTCTTTAGCCGGAGCTCTTTTATCTTGGGCTATTTAATACAAAACAGCACAAAATAAAATAGCCCAAAAAAACAAACAAGATTTTGATTGGGCGATTTTGTCTTCTGTTTCATCTTGCCCCATTCCGTCGGGGTATCCAATTACACATTAAAAACCGTTTCAACCGACGTTCGCATCTATTCAGGCGGCGCCGCGGGCGGCGGATACTCCCAAGTCATCCCCATGGAGGACGTAAATCTCCATTTGACGGGCGACATTCACGCCATAACGGCCGCCAACAATCTCCTCGCCGCCCAATTGGACGCCCGGATGTTCCACGAGGCGACGCAGAGCGACGCCGCCCTCTACAATCGGCTCGTGCCGACGATCAAGGGCGTCCGGAAGTTCTCCAACATCCAATTGAGGCGATTGAGGAAATTGGGCATCGACAAGACCGATCCGGACAGTCTCACGCCCGAGGAGCGCGTGAAATTCGCCCGATTGAACATCGATCCGCGCAACGTCGTTTGGAGCAGAGGTGAGTAGAGGAGTAGAGGAAAATCTAATAAATTTTTTAATACTCGGTCGGTTTTAGTGATGGATATAAACGACAGGTACTTGCGCGAGATAACGATCGGCGAGTCGCCGACGGAGAAGGGCCTGTCGCGCAAAGAGGGCTTCCAGATCAGCGTCGCCAGCGAGATAATGGCCATACTGGCTCTGGCCAAAGACATGGGCGATTTCAAAGAGCGTCTGTCGAAGATGGTGGTCGCCTTCGACACGTCGAATCGGCCCGTAACGGCCGACGATATCGGCATGACGGGCGCTCTGATGGTGCTGCTCAAAGACACCATCGAGCCGACGCTGTTGCAAACGCTCGAAGGCTCGCCGGTGTTCCTGCACGCCGGCCCGTTCGCCAACATCGCGCACGGTTCCAACTCCATCATCGCCGACAAAATCGCCCTGAAGCTGGTCGGCGAAGAGGGCGTGGTGCTCACCGAAGCCGGCTTCTCCTCCGACATCGGTAACGCCCTAAATTAATTCGCTTCTCATCGATTGCTACATCGTCGGTACTCGTTTTAGGTATGGAGAAGTTCTTCAACATCAAATGCAGGGCGTCGCAGGACGTGCCCAGCGCCGTGGTGCTCGTCACCACCGTCAGGGCTCTGAAGATGCACGGCGGCGGACCGGCCGTCACGCCCGGGGCGCCGCTGCCCGCCGAATACACCCGAGAGAACCTCGAGCTGCTCGAAAAGGGCATCCCCAACATACTGAAACACATCAGCAACGTCGGCAAGTTCGGCGTCCCCGCCGTCGTCGCCATCAATCACCGAGAGTAGGTTTCTTGGATACATCTGGGTACCCCTTCGAAATAGCCCAAGATAAAATAGCCCAAAGACACAATCGCTCGAGATAGAACAGCCTAGACAAAATTTTTATGTTGGACAGTTCGGACTGATTTTGTCTTTGGGCGACTTTATCATTGGGCTATTTTGTCCTTGGGCTGTTCTACAGGGGTCACCACTTCCGCTATTTTGCTGGGACTGTTTTGCCTTTGGGCTACTTCACGGAGGCGCCACTTCTAGTACTTGGATTGTCCCTTATTTCTTGGATTTTTCAGGACCGATACGGAGGCGGAGGTGGAGCTGGTGAGGCGGGCGTGCAAGGCGTCGGGCGCCTTCGACGCCGTGGTGTCGAAGCACTGGGCGCTCGGTGGCGCCGGGGCGGTGGAACTGGCGGAGGCGGTGGTGAGGGCGACGGCGGCGCCGAGCAATTTCGGGTTTTTGTACGAGTTGAATCGGCCGATCAAGGAGAAGATCGAGATTATCAGCAGGGAAATGTACGGGGCCGGCGGGGTTTCTTACACCGACGTGGCTGAAAAGAAGATAAGGCAGTACGAGGAACAGGTGAGGTTATGTTGATTTGACCGGAGATGTTTTAATGGGAATTGTTTAGGGTTTCGGGAATCTTCCGATTTGCATGGCTAAGACTCCGTTGTCTTTGACGGCGGATCCTTCGATTAAAGGGGCTCCGACTGGTTTTACTATTCCTGTTAAGGATATGTACATATCTGTAGGAGCGGGATTTATTATTCCTATGACTGGAGATGTGAGTAACCTTAATTGCCTGTTGTGGAGTTTTTTTTAATAATTGAATTTGATGATTTTAGATTACTCGAATGCCTGGATTGCCCACAAGGCCTGCGATATATGATATTGATTTAAATATCGAAACTGGCGAAATCGAAGGCTTGTTCTAATATGTTATCCTTTGTTGCTTATACAACTAGTCGATTTAAAATAAATATTTGTTAAAAAATTGTATTACTTATTTTAACTGGCATCTTCTAATAAAGTCTTTACAATATATATAGGGTGTTAATTAATTGAAGGCCTTCATAAAAATATCTAGAATACATAATAAGAAAATGATGATTTTTTATTTTTTTTCTAAAATTTTAACATCCTGTAGCTCGAAAACTAAGAGGTTTAGGACACATATTGATATAAACTTTTCTTCTTAAAACCATCCAAATATTCACATCCTGAAGTATCGGCATTCGATTAATTAACACCCTATATAAAAATAATTATGATAGAAATAGTAAATAATGACCCCTTACCAAGGAAAAAATTTCCTACAATACTCACTATTTTTTTCACATATTGTATACGAATATGTTTTCAAAGTTTAAAACTAATTACATTAAAATGATTATTCATAAGTTTTACTATAATTACTATAATAACATAATGTTTTACATAACAAATGAGTACAAAATGTGAGCAATGTCTTGTACACAATAAAATAATAAATAACTATCATTCAATACATACAAGTAGATCAAAATTTATTCAAGAATTATCTAAATTGAAGGTACCTTACATTCCTGCGTTTATGTCAACAAATTTTACGCATTTCATACCCGCCGCTTTCGTATAAAAAAGCGCTCCCCCTGAGCTAATTCCAGTTCAAAATCGAAATGAACAGAAATCAACTCACTTCGATTTTATTGTGCATTCTCGTGGGGAGCTCTCTGGCTCATGGTAAGTTCCAAACCAATTTATTTTACACACCCTTAAACACACATATTTATAATAAAAAAAACTCAAAATCACCTGGAAGACGTTAAAGATAAGTCTAATGGTGCAAGATCAGGCGATCCTGCCGGCCATTCTATCGATCCTCGCCCCTTATCCAGCGTTTTGGGCAAAGAGATTTCATTTTTTTACGTTAATTTTTGAAATAAATTTGAACATTTTTGGATAGAGGATCCTATATTGTACTATTTAAACAATTAGGGGTTCTAACTATCACTCGAAAGGGCTTAAAGGTATGGAGGAATGTCAATTTTACAACGACATCTTCCGGGATTTTCAATAAACATTTTCCAACCCACTTGATACATCCACAACTTACCACTTCCAGATTATCAACGAGCCAGACTTTTGTCCCCGAATGCTAGGTCGAAGCACCTCTCCCCGTTCCAAGAACGAGGGGGCGCCATAACCGACAAAGAATGCTCCCTGGAATGTACCGGCGGCGACGACACCTCCATCGACATCGGCCTGGACCTCCAGCTCTGGATAAACAAAACCACCAACGTGGTGGCCGTCATCAACGTCGAAGCCAAAGTGGTGCTCATCATCGACGTCGAGGCGCACCTGGTGGGCCTCCTCAACGGCACCTCCGGCGGCGGCGTCATCATCGACTTGGAAACCCAGAAGGGAGTGTACATCGAGTCCAGCACCGACGTGCACCTGTGGCTCTGCTCCAAGGTGTCCATCGAACAATACCTGGCCAGTTTCGTTTCTCTCAAAGTCATTTTGGACCTCAACATCGGCGTGAAGTTCACCGTAGCGTCGGTTTCCAAAGTCATCCTGGGCGTCGTCGCTAATTTAATAGCGAAATTATCCATCAAATTGGGCCTGCAAATAAAATCCGACGTATCCTTAGGGCTGTCGGTTCTGATTAAAATTGGAGTGACCATCAGCGGCTTGCTCAAAGGCTCCCTCAAGGGTTTCCTGAGTCTCGTCGCAGGAGGCATTGTTCATCTCAAAGGCGACATCATTTGGTTCACCAACGTCCTCAAGGGTATCGCTTTACTAGTAGGCGGAATCGCTGGAGGTATAGGCGCTCTAATCGAGGCCAAAGTCAAGTTCGATTTGGCCGTCCTCTTCGGCTGCGCCAACGGCATCGAGCTCCTGATCAATTTCTTCCTGGCCCTCTCCGGCAAAATCAACCTGGCCTTGCTGGCGGGACTTCTGAACTCCGCCGAGACCTTCCTGGCTCTCGTCGTGCAACTGGGAGGCGGCGTGGCCTACGGCGTCACCGGCGTGATCAGAGTGGCCGCCGAACTGATCGCTCTGATCCAAGGCAAGATTAAAATCGACGTGTTCCTCGCCACCCTGGTGGAGTTCTCCGCGTCCAAAAAAGCCGGCGTGGAAATCGACATCGACGTGTACATCGGCGCTTTGATCCAAGTGTGCCAAGTCACCAACATCAGCGGCGAAGTAAAATTAGCGGCCTTCATCAAGCTGCTGACGCAGCTCAAGGAGCACTCGTTGATCGTGGCCGGCGCCAACATCTCCGCCATCATCGTCGTTCTAGCGGGCGCGGCCAAAATCGGCCTGGGTCTAGCCGTGTCCGTTCTGATCGCCATCGGTACTTCAGTGGCCGTGGCTATTTCCATACCAGCTCTGCTGCTGTGCCTCATCGGCCAGCTCACGTCGGCCGCCGGTATACTTTTGCTCAAAGGACTCGGCATCGCCATCAACGTGTCGTTGGAGGGAAACATCATAGTGAACCTGCTCCAGGGCTTCAACATCTCCAGCGTTCTGAAATTCGTGCTCGGCGGATTCCAGATCACCAGCATCCTCAGCGCCGTGCCCGGTCTCAAGGAGATATTCGTCGCTTTGAGCGCCGCCGTCAAGGGTTCCAGCGATGGTAAACTCGACATCGCTGTACTTCTCAAATCCAGCGCTGCTGCATCTATTGTGGTATCGTTAACGGGCGTCATCAAAGGCATTTTGAATTTGCCCGGAGGCACTAAATTGGACACGACCTCTCACAGCGACCTCGAATGGGGCGGTGGCATTTCTATTGGCATAGGAATTGGCGGATCCGCTAGCAGCGGAGGTTCTGCAGGATCAAGTGGTTCAGGAAGTGGTTCTGGAAGTGGTTCTGGAAGCGGTTCTGGAAGCGGTTCTGGAAGTGGCTCTGGAAGTGGTTCAGGAAGCGGCTCAGGAAGTGGTTCAGGAAGCGGTTCAGGAAGCGGTTCTGGAAGCGGTTCCGGAAGTGGCTCTGGAGGAATTTCCATAGGCGGTGGCACTTCAGGAGGTGGCTCAACTGGAGGTTCAGGAGGTGGCTCAACTGGAGGTTCAGGTGGTGGCTCAGCTGGAGGTTCAACTGGAGGTTCAGGAGGTGGCTCAGCTGGAGGTTCAACTGGAGGTTCAGGAGGTGGCTCAGCTGGAGGTTCAACTGGAGGTTCAGGAGGTGGCTCAGCTGGAGGTTCAGGAGGCGGTTCGACAGGATCGGGCGGCTCGGGAGGAATATCCATCGGTGGTGGCAGTTCCGGAACCGGAACTGGAGGAATCAATTGGGGCTGGGGCAGTTCTGGTAACGGTTCATCTTCAGGAAGCGGCTCGACCGGAGGCTCAGGAGGTGGTTCAGCTGGAGCCGGTACGGGTAGTTCCGGAACCGGAACCGGAGGCATCAATTGGGGCTGGGGCAGTTCTGGTAACGGTTCATCTGGAGGTTCAGGAAGTGGTTCAGCTGGAGCAGGTAGCGGTAGTACCGGAGGCGGCTCTGGAGGAATTTCCATAGGCGGTGGCAGTTCAGGAGGTGGCTCAGCTGGAGGTTCAGGAAGTGGCTCAGCTGGAGGCTCAGGAAGTGGCTCAGCTGGAGGTTCAGCTGGAGGCTCAGGCAGTGGTGGTACCGGAAGCGGTGGTTCAGGATCTAGTGGAATTTCTCTAGGAGGCGGCAGCTCTGGAGGATGGGGAGGATCAATTGGCGGCTCAGGAGGAGGAAAAAGTAAGTTTCGATAAAATACTTATTAATAAAATACCGTTAAATAAAAAAAAATATTTTATACAACATTTTATCCAATAGCAAGCACTGGAGGAAATGGCGGAGGATCATGGTCGTGGGGAACTAGGAATCAACACGGTAAGTTTAATATTTATAAATAATATTAAATCAAATAATTGAATAATTATTACTTTTCAGGTCACCATGAGCAAAAAGAACGCCATCATCACACGAATGAAAAAACCCAGTAAAATTTTAACAACACCCTCATCAATGTCTTCTATCTTGTAAATATTTAATGTTAATAAATAAGTATGCGTCAATATAGTAGAGAATTTTCTTATTTGTTGTCATCGTAAATCGCCAATAATTAAAAAAAATAAAATGTTTATGAATGAATTAATTGCAGATAGTCAAATTAGTTGTGAAATCAAAGTTATATAAAAATGTTTAATAATATTCCTGGGTTCTCTGATTGATTAGATATTAGATACATCTGAACTACCTATAATTGCAATAAAACTCGATAGATGATATCTAAAATAATTTTGTAATATTCACATTTACTGTTTTGAGAGTTTTACAAATAACTTCAATAATTCGACAACAGTTTACAATTATCATTTATTTATTAAGAAAATAGATAATAAATTAGATAAACTAGCGGACATAGAAATAAAATAAAAACTATATACAGTACAATACAATTAAAAATAATAAATTTTGAATGAACTAACGGCATAAAAAAACAAAAGCAATTCAAAATTAGATTTATTCCTATCGAATTACTTGGGAATGTCGTCTAACAACTAAAAAATCGTACCGGTTTTAAAATATCTGGATTAGAAAAAAACGAGTTTTCGTTGAATGTAAAATGTTCTGTATAAAACAAGTATCTAGTAATAAAATAAAAATATAGTAACACCAATAGAACTCTGGATGTTTATAAAATTAAAATATGTATATTAGATCACATTTTCCCCTATTGCCCTTTTATAAATTATAAAACAGTAGGTATTTAATCTTATAAAAGTTTATTTAGATCACTCTGTATATTTTGTATTATTTCTTCTTAGGAACTAGAGCTATAAGTGTAGATGTGATCTTTAACAATAATACTGTTTAAAAATTACGCGCCTTGTTATATCACTTTTCCAATTACTCCTAAATTAAATACAATTAACATTATCTACTGACAATAGTAAGTAATGTATTTTTATTACATCATAAATCAATGAAAATTACGAAATTTATCCATTTAATGCAAGATAATAAATACGTTATTAGTTTATTATAGAAAAGTCTAGTGCTCGTTTCTCTCAGGTACTCAAGAATCTTCAATTTATAATTGTACAAGGTGACTCGGTATGTTCATTGCAATTTTTACTACCATGCTAAATTATTCCCCTCATAGTTTTTGCAAATATTTTGACATACGTCAAACGTCATTATATCTTAGATGTCATAATGACATTTGACGTAATTATTGACAACTCTGCAAAAACTAATAAATTTATAGTTGTGTTAAATATCCGAAAGGATCATGTTTATTACTTAATAAGTTGTTTCGTAGCTTCGGTAAATGAAGAATTGAACAAGGAATAATAAATAAACCGATCCTTTTGCAAATAAAACCCAACCACTACAACCCGCCGGTATGATCACGGCGCTTTAAGCACCACGAATTAGTACTTAAAACTGGGATTATCGATACCTTCTTTAGCAACCTCTTGGGGCTTCTCGCCGCCGAGCATAGCCTGAATTTCCGCCACCGATTTCCCCTTGGTCTCCGGCACGAACATCACCATAAAAGCCGCTCCGGCGAAGCAAATACCGGAGAATATGTAAAACGGCGAATCCGCGCCGATGGCGTCGCTGATGTTCCCGTAGAACTTGGTCACCAAGAAAGCCAAGAACCAATTGAAAGTAGCCGCGATCGACACCATCACCGATTTAATCTCCGGCGCCATCAATTCCGCCGATATCATCCACGGTATGGGCCCGATGCCCATCGAGAACATCACTATGTAGATCCCCAAGCACAGCAACGGCAGCACCCCAATCGATTCCACCGTCTCCTCGTCCAACACGTTCCGGTTTTTGAACGTGAAGTACAAAGCCAGCACGAACTCCGACAGGCCCATGAACAGGATCGACAGCAACAGCAGCAGTTTCCTGCCGAATTTGTCCACCACCAGCGACGACACGAACGTGGTGACCGTCTGCAACACCCCCACTATAATCGTAGCCGTCGAGGCCTTCAGCGACGACCCGGCCGCGCTGAAGATGTCGCCCGTGTAGAAGATGACGGCGTTCACGCCGCTCATTTGCTGGAAGAACATCAGGCTGAACGTGATCACGCACGCCCGCACGCCCGCCTTCGTCAGCAGCACGTCGAAGAAGCTCGCGCGGCCGCTCGAATTTTGCTCCAAACTCAGCCGCATCTCCTTCAGCTCCGGCTCGCAGTCGTACGCCTCGCCGCGCAGCCTCCGCAGCGACGCCTTCGCCGCCTCGTACTTGTCGTTCTTCAGATAGTACACGGGCGTCTCCGGCTGGAAGAAGAACACCACGCCGAACACCACCGGGATGCACAGACTTAATATAGCGAGACTTTTGGGTGAGATGAAGGCCCCGGCGACGTACGCTATGAGTATGCCGACGGTGAGGAGCAGCTGGAAGTAGCTGCCCAGCGCGCCTCGGATCCGGTTCTCGGCGATTTCGCTTGTGTAGATGGGCGCCGCGACGCAGAAGGCGCCGCCCGCCAGCCCGGTGAGGAAGCGGCCGGCGTAGATCATCGGCACGCCGTCGGCGAAGACGATCAGAAACCAGCCGAGCAGGAACGGGACGACGGTGAGCAGGCAGCTCAGCTTCCTGCCGATCAGGTCGCAGATGTAGCCTATCGGGATGCACATCACCATGGCGCCCAAGTTGACGAACGAGCCGATCCAGCCTAATGAATCTTTGTCGATGGGGATGTCGTTGAGGTTGCCTGTTTTTAGGGCGTCCGATATGTTGGCCGTCCAGCCGAGGACCGCCCCTGCTGCTACTGCTCCCAGACATACTGGAATGGTAATATCGGAATGTTATTTGTGGTCCCATTGCTTGTTAGAACTAAATAGAACAATGTACAACTGTCTAGAACCATTTAGATTGCTTCAGGAGGAATTAGAACTGTCGAAGACTATTTAGAACTGTATAAAATGATTTACAACTGTCCGGAATGAATTAGAACTGTATGAAACTAATCAGAACTATCTAGAGCAATTCATAACTGACCAGAATCGTTTAGATTGCTTCAGGAAGAATTAGAACTGTCGAGGAATATTTAGAACTGTATAAAATGATTTACAACTGTCTAGATCGATTTGGAACTGTCCAGAATGATTTAGAATTGTCTAGAATGATTTACAACTGCCCAGAATGAATTAGAACTGTATAAAACTTATTAGAACTATCCACAGCAATTTATAACTGACCAGAACCATTTAGATTACTTCAGGAAGAATTAGAATTGTCGAAGACTATTTAGAACTGTATAAAATAATTTACAACTGTATAGATTGATTTGGAACTGTCCAGATTGATTTAGAATTGTCTAGAATGATTTACAACTGTCCAGAATGAATTAGAACTATCCGGAGCAATTTATAACTGACCAGAATCATTTAGATTGCCTCAGGATGGATCAGAATTCACCACTAGTGAACGTGGTGTTTGGGAAAATCGTGGAAAATGGTACTTACTTGATAGAGCAGCGATGTACTGGGGTACTGTGCTGGATTTCCCATAATCCGTCATATTATTCTGCAAAAAAATACCCTACATTAACAAGAATTTTTACGATATGTTGCTTAAATATTGTCCTACAATTAGTTGCATAATTTAATACGAAAATTTTCGATCGATTTCAAATTTATTAATAGATTCCGTTGGTTGTTAATTACATGTATTTGATCATTGTTCTCGTTTAACGGAGCACAATAGAAATTGCGAACGATTATGACACAATTTTTCTTGGTATTTACGTGACCATACGCACATGAGGGAAAGTCCGATCAATTCTATTTCTTCTGGTTTATTGGCTCGACCGGAAAATCCCCCTATGCTATAAAAAATGATCGATCGGTTGAGGCAAATGAACGAATAAACGAATGCTAATTTGTAAATTTACATACTTTGAATTGAATATGGTTTATGCTTTAGAAATTCTTCATTAATACTGGCAATAATTATATTGACGGATTGGCTTTTATTCCGTAAAGGATTTCGATGCTAATAGTGATAAAGATTAGATAGACAAATATTGTACAAAGTAAATTTTATTGTTAATTTATCTTGTAATTGATGTGTATGAATGATAACAAATTTTGTGTGTTTTTACAATATTAATCGGATGGCTAGTTAAATGAACTTATTGTTATTTAAGTTGTTTTTGATGAATTAGAAAACTAATAAGATATATTTTACTATACATACTTCGTTAAATTTCTATAAAATATTACTAGTATTAAAATTATTAATGGATTGTATTGGAAAATTTTGGTCGTGGATACTAAAATCTTATACACACTACTTGAGATAGATAATAAATACTGAAAACACCTCCAAATTACCTTTTATAGATTTTATTGAAGTATTAGGTTTTATAATTCAAACGAAATCTTAAAACAACAATTGTAATTTTTTTATGTGGAAAACAAATTTTTAATTACTGTATACTTGCATAAAAAGCTTCGTTTCTGATAATATTTGCATTTAATTTACCCCAAATATTTTGTGCATAATAATCTCCAAACAATTTAAATTACACATTAAAAATTATATGGAAGAAGTACTTACAAAAAACATTTTGCACCTTCAATTTGTTTAAAATAACCACACCTTAGTGTAAAATAGAATAAAATGACCATAACATAAACATTATCGCTGTTTTTTGGTCCTTAAATCGGATTTAAAAATTTAATAAAGCATAGGCGTCTCGTTTTTCGATCTAATTATCGGAGAAATTTTATTTCTACTTTATACAATTTAATTAGGCAACGCAAAATTAATTGCGAAGTCCAAGAAACCTTGTCTATTGTTCTGTACAGTAAATATTGTGCATTTTTAATTGCAATTATTTTTAGCCTTCCAATATATCAATGAGAAACTCCTTGAAGGAAAAAAAGCAAAGCGATTTTATAATCTCAATTTCACATTTATTAAAATGTAATTAAATATTCTTTTGGAGCTGTGAAAAACCAACAAGGACTTAAATTTATTTTTTATAAATATGCATTTTACCTGTTCAAATCGATAACTTTTCTATTAAGTTCAATTGTAATCCTTATTAAGTGCACATGAGAACAATATTTCGGTAACTAATCAAATATATCTAAAACGTATTATTTTCAGTTGCCCCACTTTATAGATATACTATATCTATGGTTTAACTACCTACCTTAATATACTACTAAGAAATTCCTCATTGAGAGGCCATTACAGAAAATTACATGTAATTTAAAAATATTTTGCTTTTAAAATCTATTAGAAAACTTAATAAAATACCTATATATTTACTATTTAATTATTTGTTAAACATTTTAATATACATAGGTACAATAGCTCCTTATGGTTAATTATACCTAACAGTTATATAAATTTAATCAGTTGGTAATAAAATATACCATCGGTACCCATTATGAATATATTTATGAATTACAATTTTATGGTTTTTACAAATAAAAAGTGATTTCACATGTAATTCACACTATTCGGGATTACATGAAGGTTGAAAATTAAATAATTTACCGAGCATTTTCCACAGCGTAATTTCCGGGTATAAATACTGAATATTTTCTCTTGCATAATATTATACTTTATTTTAATATAAATTCAGTAGAGGGAAAATGGTATAAATTGTTTGCAGTTTGGTCAACGCTGATAATATTGAGAATTTTTAGGTACACATAATGCAAACAAAAAATAATTACATAAAATTTGTTTATTCTACATGCGTTGAATTAAATATTAAATAACCTTTTATAAAAATAAACAATACTGTACGTAGGTAAATCACCTCAATACAAGTATACATGGTGTCACGATTAATTAAAGATTAATGTAATAATTTATCTGAAGTCCGATAAAAAGGCTTTTTACAATTACAATTTGTTGTTTTCGTTTCGTTGTTATCTGGTATATAAATTACAAAATTTATTCCGAAATTCATTTCCTCGTTAAAATAATGTTCGCAGGACACTTCTGACAATATTATTTAATAAATGTATATCAACCTGTTTAGGTAATAGTTAAGTATCTTGTTTTTGCGCAAAATAATTCGTTCGGCTCGTTTTATAGTTCATAATCGTAACTGAACGCTGTAAAAGATAAATTACATTTATTATCCTTTACGTGCATTATATAAACACTAAGTTATTATTTTCTCGGGGAAATATAATACCGTTTTTTTTATCTGTAGGAGTAACACAATGTTGGTAAAAATTTATTGATTTTTTTATTGATATTTCAAGACCTTCTTAATAAATTTTTCGTTAATAAAGGAAGCCCTTTACATAAGACACATTCCTAACTAATTACACACTTATATTTATTTATGAAAATAAAATTAACGATAATATTCATAAAGCCTACATAATTTCATTTAAAAATCACTAATATATTTATTTTTTTGAAATAAATTCTCCTTGGAATTTCTTCGATAACTTAAATACGCCTTAACTGATACTTATTTTTCTATCTATTTTATTCTACCTATTTTTCCATCATTTACTAGAAAAATTTTGCACTTTGACAATAACTTGATTCATGACAAAGTTGATGATTATGATTTCAAAATGAAGACAATAAAGAAAGCAATTTTTTTTATAAAAACAAACACCTGTAGTGTCTCGATTGTAATATGCCTACATAAAAAATACAATTATTAAAATGTTATTTTAATAATTTTATTTTGCTTCAAATTAATAACTGAATTTTTAGAGAATTATATTTATTGTTACCTTTGCTCTACAGGGTGCACCTGAGATTGACTTGTGAGATATAATGATTGATCTATTGCAAAATAAATTCGTAATACCTACATACAATGGATTTTGAAGTGTATTATGGAAACTTGCATCAGGGAAATTTCGCAATTAGATAGACGTGGTTTAAAATAAGCTCTATTATTTCAAAAAATACAATAAAGATTATAAGTTTATTAATCCGTCATAATTATTTTGATATCCATTACATCGTGTATCTACTTTTAATAATGCAAGTAAAATTAAAAAAAAAATAGAACCGACCGGAAAATTTCAAAACGCAACCATATCTAAGTTCGATAACATTTCCTATTTTTTAACTATTTACTCCTACAAAACACAAAACGAACAAAAATCAAAGTTCAAACAAATCGATATTTTCCACTACGCAGGTACTAAATAACTTCAAATAAACACAAAAAAAAAATACGAACCAAATTGTATTTCCTCGTCATCTTTCCGCAGCCCAAAGTGAAGAACCGCCGGGCTTCCTCGAGCAGCGTAAATACCTCAATCGAGAATCGAGAACTCAACTGGAAGTTAAATAATCGCGGTACTCGCGCGATTTTCGCGACAGGTAGGCTCGTCGGCGGATCGCAGAATGCAATTTCTTTGGCGAAATGCGAGCCCACCTGCCCCCCGACCATCGGACGAGCCTCCGAATCGCCCGAGCCGATCGCCCGAGAATTTTTTAATTGCAAAATAAACGGCGGTTTTGTGCCCGGTATATTTCTGCGTACACGCCGGGAAATTATCCCCTAAATACGGCGAATAAGACACTTCCGAGTTCGGAAATGTATCTGCTATAAACCTGCAGTGGTTACTGATTGATGAGAGATTGCTACTATACCAGTTTGTTATTTTTCCGAATTTCTATCGGCTCTTACTGGAGTCCTGGAAAATGGATTATGGAATATTCCTTATGAAACACGCGACCTCTTGACCTTCTTCGTGGAAGATCTTAGATCTTGGAATTGTATGTATCAACATTGTTGAAGAAATGTAACGTTCTCGGCGAGACAATAGACATAACGTATCTTTTGTTTGGTCAAAGTAAACAAGATGTTTATAATTTCATCTGATTATTGAGTGATTCGAAGTGAATTCCTTGAAAAGAATTATTATTGAATTTTAAAGCGATCGCTTCGTTCCAGGTGTAATTCTTGCAGTGAAAGATTACCACAAAATGCATCACAATATATTTCATTTATATACCTACTTAACATGTGTAAATAAACCTAGTACATAAAAGGGCTTTCCTTTTTAATAAAAGATATAAACACTAACAGATAAGCATTTGATATTAAAAGTTTCGTGTTTAGATTAGATACTTATCTATTCATATTATAGTATCTTGTTGTATATCATATTAAATAGAAAAACCCTTTTCTACGAACTCACCTTAGGTCTTTAATCAACTCTATGCAAATTCACGCGGTTTATTCTATTCGAAAAATAGATTAATTCATTTCTCGCTTCCGTTACGTTTAGGTATTAGCAGCGGAAACCGGGAGTGGCCTGTGATAAGACAATTTCACTTCTATTGAGTAAGTGGAAAATTGATCGAGAACATGCAAAGGATTCCTGTTGTGCATTTTCGCTTCTTTCGCGATGATTAACATATTAAAAGCGGTAATTGAATACAGTCTCTGAATTCGCAGAGGACACGAATTGGTTCACCTTCGAGCGAAAGGTTAAGATCAATCAAAAGCGGTGATTATTAAAAAAAAAATGTATTACTCATATGTGGTGTACTTATAGGGAATTGTTTCTAACATGGAATCAATAGTAATCTACCTAATTAGAATCGTAGAAGCTCAAGGACCACGTAATATAATAAGTTTATAATATAGGAGGTACCTACCACAGTTATAATAACAGTATCAAAGATAAATTATGTCGAAAATCAGAGTGATATTACACAATCTCTGGATAATTTCTAATTATTTCAAGCACCCTGCATAGTACTTGTTTACTGCTGAAATCGTTCACTTGCTTTTAATACTTTCTTATTCGTTTTTTATCGATAATTGAACACTCGAATTTCTCGAAATGGTCGATAATTATTCTAGTTGTTGAAGAGTTTTGTACGCACGAAAGTGTGGATACTTTCAAATCGACCTAATCCGACGATAAAATGTGAAAACAAGTTATAATATTCTTTGCGAGTATCGAATAGGAAATATTTTTTATTTTGCGGCTAGTTTGTGTGCAATAAAAGTAAGGAGATATCCTATTTTAACGATCCATTAAGTTTTATATGTGATTGTTAACCCTAACAATAAAGAAGGCAATAAAAATGCGAAATATAAATGAAACAATAATAATTATATCATATTTTTTTTATTTAAGGGCTACTTTAGTCACCAACAAGTACGTAGTCAAACAATCATAAGGCATTACACGTATAAGAGCATTTTATATTCAATTATTCAATAAACAAATATAATAATATACAATTGAATAAAATGTAAAAATATATATGTATTTTTTTGATAGTATAAATATATCACATTCAGATATTTTTTAATGAGAAAAGAAACGATAATAAATACATTAGAGATGGTGAATTTTTAAAATTAGGCGAATATCACCTTTGGTTGTTGAAAAACATGTTAATTCAAAGAAGCAATTCGAGTGAATTAAAATAATTAAATTATTACTAAAAATCTACTTATAAAGAACAATTAATATATTCGAGCGATTAACATTTTGTCATGGACTGTAAGTGTTTGTATATTTTATATGAAAATAAAAATTTTACTTTACTACAAAGTGTAAAAATATAAGTTTAAAATAAGTTAAATTCGTCTTTGAAAATTGAGCTGTAAATACAGTACTGTAACATTTTGCAGTTTCAGAAACTTACAAAAATTCAATAGCTTGAAGAGAGCCGGTTTGTGTCATGAAATGAGTGAGTTTTGTACTGTATTCACCGGAGTATTGGACAGAATTTTACAGAAATGTCTCTTAAAAATTAATTGCTTTCAGCGTTTCATACAGGGTGTTAATTAATTGAATGCAGATACCTCAGGATGTGAATATTTGGAGGATTTTAAGAAGAAAAGTTTATACTATGTATAAACCTGTAAACTAACAAGTTTTACTGAAAACGCATCGGCTCACAACTTTGAAATTTTTAGAAAAATTAATTTGGCACTTTATTTATTGTATGAACTGTCCAGTAATATCAAATTCTCAAAAAAATATATTATAACCAATAAATTAGTCAATATTTTTAGGAAAAAAATTCACAAACTAAAATAAAACATTGACATACTAATTAAAAACACTCTGTACTTTTAACCAACCTTCTACTAATAAAAAAAGCTTGTTATACTTCACAATTTGTTTGTAAAAAAACATTGAATAGTAAATAGGCAATTTAAATATTTCAAAAAATAACTTAATTTTATCTATAACACTAGTTAGCTCCCGCAAGGTGTATATTTTAAAAAATGAAAAATAAAATTAGATAATAGACTCGTGTGTATGATAAATTGAAAAAAATAAATTTAACACATGTATCTTTCATATTGTTCTTATTCGCTACTTACTTATATCTCTTTTAATAATATTCTTACTTACTCGCACTCAAATCAAACGTTTTATCGAGATTCCGATTTTCTCCTCTTTGGACAACGCAGTTCGGAGATTATCACATTTTCTTCTACTATAAAAAGTTTATTCGCTCCTCAATATACCGAGCGCTGAATTATTTTCGATACACCCTACATTCCAATCGAGTACTCCCTAGATCACCAATCGTCTTTGTGTCTCGTCGAAAACGCATAATGTTCCACGATTTGCGTGAAACTCTGTTTACTGATAGACGTTTGAACCAACTGTATACTCCTGAAGAGCAACTCCGACGAAATATCCTCGGGCAGGTGAGTGAGGAACTGCGAACCTTGCAGAAAATCCATCGACATCAACTCGTCCTGATGCAAATGAAGAATACCTAAAACAAAACGTCTTTAATGCGCGCATTCAATCGTTATTTACGAATTACCTAAAGCCGTTCGAAAGATAAATTCGTATCCATCGCGCAGAAACACGTCCCAAACCCTGCAGGCGATATCCAACGGCATGGCCTTCGCGAAGATCGTGTAAATCCAGTCCAACAGGTACAAATCGGGCGTCAGGCCGCTCTGCTCGAAATGCCGGTGCAATCTCGGCAAATTGAAGCAAAATATCCGATCGTACGCGTTGTAATACGCCTGCATGCGACACTGGTTCAACGTGAACGCCGACAAATGCAACGGTTGATTCAACAAATTCGAGAAACAAATAAAAGCATCGCATGGGTCCATGTTCAATATCAATATGGCGGCGATGTAGGACATGCCTTGGACGTAACCCACGTCCGGTCTGTAAGACACGTAGGCGGCTAACAATGAATGCAACGTGTCCGAATAAGGACCGCCTTCCTGGAAAATACCCAAATGCGGAAACGTCCGGGCGATGTCCAGCCGGATCACATCCATAGAACTCTCTTGACTTCCGTTGGCGTCCGACGGTATCGACTCGGGGCTGCTCAAGCGGCTTTGAGCTCGATTGAGACATATATCGTATAATTGAGGGGTGAGATTCAAATCGTTTCCTATCGCTAATATCCAGACTTTTCCTCTTACGCTGGAAGGGAGGCCTTGCCACCAAAGGTCTACGGTTCTCTTGCTGCAGCGCCTACAAATAAACAATTATATGCGAATAGAGATTACTTCTGGTGCGAATCGAACTTACATCGCATCCCAATCGGGCAGGACAGTTTGAGCGAAATGCTTGGCGGCCGCCGCCTGTTGTTCCTCCAACTTCAACTGGAGCTTCTGCTGCTTCTGTTTGGCCACCGACGATTGGGCCTCTTTCTTTTTGGCCGCCGCTAAAATGGCCTTGTACTCGTCCTTGTGCTTCTGTTCCTCCTTGAGCGATTTGGCGGGTAGATTCGAAGGCCTGTCGAAGCGCGTGAATAAATACGCCGTGTTTATTGTTTAGCTATCGCCTATCAAAAGTTTCGCATACCTTTCGTGTTGGATTAACGCCGAAGAACTGGCGACGTGGACGGGCGAAATATGCGAACAATCGCTGGATTGTTTACCGAAGAGCTTCCAAACGCCGTTACCGGGAAGCGGGTCGTTAGACGAGCCTTTCCACGTGAAAATATGCCTGTAATCAAAAACCGATTAACTAACACAATCGTGGTGCGATTATGGAGAATACTTACTTCGATAAAAAGTTCGTTAAACTTCTCCTTCTCGATTTAACGTGAGAGATATCCAAACTGGATAGAGACCTTTCTTCCGAGCCGATTAAACTGCCTGATGTCGATTGATCGCTGATAGCACTTACGCTGGAAATGGTGCTCGAAAATGAACCGGCCTCCGTTCTCCTGTGGCCCAGTTTCTTGACGGGCTCCTCGTTATTGGTGCAGTCTTTGTCTTCGTTAGTATCAGTCTTAGTTGCTTCTACTAAATGTAGTTGTTTGGTGATAGGGCTATAAGCTAGGGATATGTTTTGCAGGGCCTCGTTAAATGAAAGCGTGTTTTTAATATACAGATTATCGCCGCGATCACAATTCGAGATTTCTTGAGTATTTGCGCATTTCGAAGGGCTTTTCGATGAACAGGACTGGTTGTCTAGGTTTTTTAGCTTTTCGTACCGTTCCGGCCAGGTTCTGAACGATTTAAACCAAGATTCGCTCTTCGGGCTCGGAGAGTTGTCTTCCAATTGCCTGCTATCACATTGGTCTACAGCCAAGTCCAAATACATTTCATCTTTGTTAGTGCAGTCTGGTAAGCTTTGGCTTTTGAAATCCTGATTGTAAGGACACTGGGGGGCATCGGATACGCGCTCATCGTCTAGTTTATTAGGCGAATCTTTGATTAATAAATTCACTTCGAGTTGTTTATCTTTCGTCTTGTCATGGGAATCGTAATTTTTCATTATTCATTTGATCAGTGTTTTCCTTTAATCATAGAGTTTTGTACTCGTGAAATTCCTTTATTCGCGAAGTTAACTCCCACTGGAACCAGTCATTGTTTACGTTGTTAATTAGGGATCTATTTCGAAAATCATGTTGATTGATAACTAATACTACACATACAAAAACGATGGAAATAAATTACTTAATACTATACAAAGTTAAAGAAATGAATGAATTTGATGAAAGACAAACAAATGTCAAATGAAATGTCAACAAACCACAGACGTCATTTGGATTAGCGTTCGGCGGTTGTGTTCCGAACGAATTAAGTGTAATTTTAAAAACTCATGCGATTATGTCATTTTTGTTTTAATTATTACAAGTGCTGCCAACACATCCGCATCATTCGCATAATTTGTGGTTTTTCGTGAAATAATTACGCAGAATATAATTGTAATTATATTTTAATTGCATTATAAATATATATTGCGAACTACATAGTTCTACTTTGTGGTTTAAACGAAATTTTTATTTAAACAAAACAACCTGTTTTCGACCTAACGACGTCAAATTTTACTAGAATATTCGAACAATACAACTCGCGAATATACAAACGGTAAATAGACTTTCACCCTTATTTCGCTTAATAAACATTAATGCCGAATAGAATTCTTGGAAACTCTTTATTTACGTTCTAATTTCTACGAATAATTGCGCAGAAATGTCACAACGAGGAACTGTCAAAAGTCAAAGTGGTTTTTGGGGTTGGCATCCTGAAACTTTTTATTGTCTTGTTTAGGGCACAGGCTTATTTATGTTTAAAAAAAATATTTCGTGGATCAAAAGGCTACGAAGAGGCTTAGTTGTTTTTCAATTACATTATTATAGGTGAATGTAACGGTATTTTGGAATGGTACTGATAGTTTTAGGTTATTAGATATAGGAGGTAAATTTTATTATGAACTGAAGAGAGCAGACATGGCGGCTAGTAGAAAATTACAAGGTAAGTGAAATTTTCGATGTTTTCAATGATAACCAGAAGTTTTTTCGTCGTTTCGAGAATATAATTTTTCGTTGGAAACCGATAGCACAATGTTGAAATAACTATTCATTCATATACTAACATGTTTATATGAAGTAATGTTTTTGTAAAATATGGAAACAAGATCTAGATTAAGAACATAGATTGTTATTTTTTTTTCAGGAGAAATAGATCGCTGTCTTAAAAAAGTTACTGAAGGTGTTGAGACTTTTGAAGATATATGGCAAAAAGTCCACAATGCAGCCAACAGTAATCAAAAGGAAAAATATGAGGCTGATCTCAAAAAGGAAATCAAGAAATTGCAAAGGCTAAGAGATCAAATAAAAAGTTGGATCGCCTCTGCGGAAATTAAAGATAAAAGTGTGTTAATGGACAACAGAAAACTCATAGAAACGGTATGTGCATAATTTAATAGTATAGTTGCACATCAGGATTTGTAGTTGTCATAACACTTTCAACAGTCAAATTTTGACAATATTTTTAGACTTGTGAAATTTTTATTAGTTATATCATTATTACTTTTGTAAGTACTAATAATTCCGTTTGGAATAAGTCCCAAAAATCCGCAATTTTTGTGCATAACCTATAAAGTACAGCAACACAAAATTTTACCTCTAGGCTATAGCATGTAGGTATTAGTGTTAAACTTATGCATTGTTAGATACACAAACTACGTTTTTATTTAAATTATTTCATTTTTTGCTCTGTATTAATTACGAATAAGAGTGTGATGACCTTTGTAGTTAATAATAAGAGTCCGTTTACTTTTGTAGCAAATGGAGAGGTTCAAAGTTGTAGAAAGGGAGACTAAAACGAAAGCATACTCGAAAGAAGGTTTAGGTGCTGCTCAGAAATTAGATCCCGCCCAAAAAGAACGCGAGGAAATACAACATTGGCTAACGACCTCCATAGAAAAACTTAATATCGGTGTAAGTAAATCGAATGCGAAATACATTTCGAAACATTGCTTATTCTCTCGTCGTTTCCAGACCGACAGTTTCGAATCGGAGATTGAACAACTCTTATCGAATAAAAAGAAAAAACTCGATAAAGACAAACAGGATAGAATAGACGAATTGAAGTCTAGATTAGAGAAGCATAGGTTTCACATACGAAAATTAGAGACATTGTTAAGGATGCTGGATAACATGTCGGTTGAAGTTCAGCAGGTAAATCGAACCTCTCATACACAGAAGCGTCCGCAACCGTCCGAATTGCCCGTTATTTTCCAGATTAAGAACATAAAAGACAATGTAGAGTACTATATAGATTTCAATACGGAGCCCGATTTCGAAGATAACGAGTTTATCTACGACGATATCATCGGCATGGACGAGGTGGAATTGTCCGGCGTCGGCCTGCCCTCGTCGGCGACGACCGACAGCAACGAAACCGGCGGTACGCCCACCTCCATCATATCGGGCTCGTCGCCGCCGCCGGCGTCGTCGTCGCCGCCTCCGCCTCCGCCGCCGCTCATCGCCCCGTCGGCGATCCAATCGGCGCCGCTCACCCTTACGGCGATGGCGGCCACGGCCGTCACGACGGTGCACCATTACAATAATCATTCCGTAATAGAGAACTCGAATGAAGACAGTAAAAAGGTCGTGGGCAACAAGGATGTACAACCCAAGGTAAAAATTTCAATGATTTGTACTTGTATTGAGGGTTTTGCACAATTCCTCTACAGGGTGTCCCGTAAAGGCGAACGTGCCTAAAGTATAATGTTTAACTCAAATGTATCTTAATACAGCCAACTTTTGAATTATCGACAATTTTGACTTAGTGTTTTTCATCAAAACTTCATAGAATTGTAGGAAACAGATAGAATAAAAAAGTTTTAAAATGAAATTACCTATAAAATGAACTAATAATTTTTTAACTACACTCATAACGTGTACCAAATGATGTTGTTTTATCGGGACACCCTCTATAGTGAGAAAAATAATTTTAAAAAATTATCAAAATATATCCCTTGAATAATGTCCTACGAATCAAAGCATTAGATAAACAATTCAACTGATGAAATAAATTTGCTAACTTAGCGCGTATATCAATCGCTGGTTTTGACTATATAGTATTTTTATTTTCAAATTTAACCGCTCATTTTGGCAAACGTATTTTTTGTGTTTTCGAAGGTCAATCTATTTTTATTGTCGTGAACCGCAGTAAAATCTCATTTACCAGCCTACAAAGCGGTTGTTTTGTTTGGTATTTCGCGATAATCGACAATTCGACATTGTTTACAAACACGATATGAAAAATAAACGGCATCGATTCGTGAGGTGAGATGCGTTCGATTCGTTAGCTAATCGCGATTATTTCGATCGTTACGATCGCCGATATATTTTCAATAACTGACGTCGCCTTCGTTGTTTCGCAGCCAGTAAAACCGACGCCTGTGCGAGCAGTGACCAACAACAACCAATCGAGCATCAACACCACCCTCAATTCCGTGCTAAACTACAGTTTGGTCGGGGGAACGGGGGCGGTAACGGTAACGGCGTCTCTATTAACCGGTGCCGCCCCCACGGCGCCGTCGCCTGGTCAGTACAAACACGCCCTACTCGTTTCGTTCGGTTGTCTAATTATTTTTTTTTTTTGTGGTTTGTTTAGGTAAAGCAACGACAGCGTCGTCGAATAGCGTGGTGACTTCTAGCATGGGCAAGATTCCGGGCAGGGAACCGTCGCCTATCGGGAGCGTTCTTGCACAAACGTTGACTTCGTCATCGATAGGAGGCGGGAATTTCGCGGCGGTGGCGGCTAATGCAGTGAAAGTATCGAGTAAGTTATCGGGTCAAGTTTTCCCCTGGCTAATTTGGTGGAAAGAAGGAGCTTTTTAAGCTCGAGATACAGTTTAAGAAATGCTCTTTGAGTATGCAATTGTTGTGTTTTATCTCAACAACTCGTCGGAACAGCATTTTTACTGCGATGCTCACGATTCAAAAGAAGGCAAACATGCATGAATACCTATTAAAATTCCCGGCGTTATTTAGCGAATTAAAAAAAAACGTTGGTAATTAATCGGTTAAATTGAATTAAATTTCAGCAAGTGGCGAGAGTAACCCTCCAGCATCTGTGATAACTAATGTTAGTCAAGTTCAAACTCAAAATACATCCAATGCCATCAACACAACGGTCCATACGAATCCCATTGCGTCATTAGTACGTATTTTACTGTCTTATTATATATTCATATAAATAATTACGCGTTTTTTTTTTCTTAGGGATTACAGTTACAGAATTCGACGAACACTCCCCCGAAATCCTACAATGAACAACATGTACAAAATAATTGTTTAAGTCCAGAACCAAATAATTGCAGTGAAATGTCTAAATCCGAAGTCGATGCATCACAAATACCGAACGGTCCGATAACGGAGAAGGTAAAATACGCGAATCAACGTCGACTGTATTTATAATTCGATTAATTCTGTTTAGTTAAACGACGGTTTGACGTCGCTGAAAACGATGGCTCAACAAGTAATAGACCAGGCAGGGTTGCAAAACAACCAAGTCATCCTGGAGCCGAGCAAGATGCAGAATCAAGGGAAATCGGACGCCCACATACCCCCGTTGTTGGGCGTCGCTCCGCTGGGAGCCATACCTCTTCAAAAAGAACACCAAACTCAGTTCCAATTGATGGAAGCCGCCTTTTACCATATGCCTCACCCTTCCGATTCGGAAAGGATACGAACGTATTTACCTAGGTTAGCTTCGGTTTTTTCGCGACAGATCGAACAGGTAATCAATCTGGTCGATTGTTCCAGGAGTCCGTGCACAACGCCTTCGTACTACATCCAGACGCCTCTCGCTCACTCTGACAGTTTAGAGTTCTACCAGAGACTAGCGACGGAAACGCTGTTTTTCGTGTTTTACTACATGGAGGGCACCAGGGCTCAGTATCTCGCCGCGAAAGCGCTCAAGAAACAAAGTTGGAGGTTCCACACCAAGTACATGATGTGGTTCCAGCGACACGAAGAGCCCAAGGTCATTAACGAGGAATACGAGCAGGTTAGTGGGCAGATTTTTGGGTCGATTGTTCTTCCTATAGATTTAGATTAGGATTGTTCGAAGGGATTATCCTCTAGTGTTAAAGGGGATTATCCTCTAGTTAAATCGATGGACGTATTGGCATAGTTTCTTTGATTTTAGGGCACTTACATTTACTTCGATTACGAGAAGTGGGGACAAAGGAAAAAAGAAGGATTTACATTTGAATATAAATACTTAGAAGATAGAGATCTTAATTAAAATATTTATATTAAGATATAAAGTTTTATTTATGAGCTATATAAAAACGCAAACCTTAGTTTTATAATCTCTGAAAATTATCACAAATTTTTACGAAAAACTCGACTAGTTTGGCTATATGGTCGCCTAAACTTTTATTTAGTTTAAATAGTGTTCTTCGTATTTATCTAGCATCGGGTACATTTCAGTTAAGATGATATCTAATAAATTATAAGCCAGCTGGAACAAATAAATGCATATCAAATTCCACGACAAACGAATTGAACCAATAATCGATATACCTGTTTATTAAAATGTGGGTTTTGCAAAATATCTAACGTCGTTTTCAGTCCATCTTTCAATCCCGGTCCGAGAATTCGATTAACAATCGGCGAAACCGAATTTGTTAAATCCTCGAACGCTTTTATTTTCCTCTGTTCGAGTTGCTCCCTGTTCGTCGGTTTGTATTCGTTAAAAATTACATCTAAAAAACGAAATTATTTAGTAGTAATTATAATTTCAGAGATTGTTTTCGATTACCTTCCAATTGCTTAATTAAATACGTTAAATTCGAATGGCACAGGCCCGATCTAATTTTCTTTTCGATCAAAATCCTAGCCGACATGTCCACGAAATACTGTCCTATGCTGCATACTGAAGCGTACAATCGCAACAATCCGTAAGGGATTTTGAAAACGTTTTTTACTAAAAAAACGAACGTAAAATTAAGGTGTTCAATGTAACCGTTGCGAAAAAGTATTACATAAATAAAATGCACTTTCTGTTATGCCCTCGGGACTCAACGAACTGCTCATCGTGTCCTTTAAAACCTTATAGTGAACTCCAAAGTTGTCGTTGAACACTTGGTTTCTGTAAGTCTTGGGAAACAAGATGTTTTCAATAACTGTAAATAACTTGACGCTTTCTTCTCCTACTTCCGCCCATTCGAGTTTCCTGCAAAAAAAATGTATCAGTAGGTTCCGTCGGAATAAATTCATTGCGCATTTTATATACTCGGTCTTCGTCCGTCCCGTTGACATGAGGAACGACGCCATGAAGGGATCCAAATGCTGGCCCTTCTCCTTTCGCAATTTGTACGCAACGGATTGGTAGATGTTGCCGATGTCTTGCATTTGGGACGCGTTGGTCGCGAGGTATATCTGGAAGTCCTCTTCGGTGGTTAGGAAATAGTAGAGCAAATCGCTGCCTTTCAGCGCGGATTTTTGCAGCAGTTTGCGCAGGAACTCCTCGTACTTCGCCATTCGCGTTTCTATCGACGAGCCGGCCCTGTGAAAATTATTTAGATGTGCGAAAAGGGTTGGGTTTTTTTTTTGGTGTAACTCACTTTCTGGACGGTAGAGGCGAATCGCAAATTTCGCTCTCTCCGTGGAATTCGATAAGTTTGGCTTTTAGGGTGTAAAAATCTTGATCTTTTCGGAGGACTACCCAATTTCTTCGGCTACCCTCCGAGGAATCGGTTCTTTCGATGCTGATGTAAAAATACACGACTTTATTGGTGGGATTCGTCTGAAATGTTTACCAATTTAGAATTATTAAAGTTTACGCAAAAACATGAATTACTTGAAATGTGGGAACGTCTACTTTCCAAGTGCTCATGTCTCTGAATAAATTCTTGCAATCCTCCAAAAACATGTCATCTGCAGTACCGTTTTCGACTAATTGGGCTTCTGGCGGGTAAAACGCGCCCTCTACCGGCTGATTGGTCTTAAGGACGCCTTTAATCTTCCCCAATCCGCTGCTAAACTTCGAAACCGGTCCTGGATTAGTCGAATCGTACCGTTTTATCCTTAAAGATAATAAAATAACGCATGAATAGTGTGTAAAATAGTGAATAAATAGCTGGACAAATGCCGTTACCTGTCTTTGCTTGGCGAGCCAAAAGAAGGTCTAAGGTAAGCATTTAAATTCGTATTATTAATTAGTATTTCCTGTAAAATGTTCATGCAAGTTTAACTTACTTGTGATGTCCTTTGGAGTAGCCTGTTAGATGTTTCGATCCGCAAATGCAGCTGTAAAACTACAAACAAATGTGATAGGGATTATGATACGTTTCGAATAATTATTTACCTCGTTGCTGTGGAAAAATTGAGGCAACCACACGTTTTCCAGTATGTTAAAAACGAATTCGTAGGCGGCGCAGAGCAGTTTGCTCAATTTCGATATTTTCTCCACGGCGTAAATATCTTGCATTAAAAATTTAAAATCCTCCGAAATGTCCGACGGGCAACTAATATAACTGAAGCTGCTTTTGTCCAAGTATTCCTTGTACAGTTTCAAAGCGTCGTTGTGTAATTCCTCTATTTGCTTTTTAGATAGCTCCGGCATTAACATTTTCGAGTTGAAATCGTCTGAAACGCGGGACTTTATTAGTTGCATTTTTATGGCGGGTTGTAAAGTTTATCAATTTACCGACGTCAAGGCAGAATTGCAGAAGATTGACGTGGTCCTGGTTTTTTAAAAACTGCATAAACGCGTAAAGCAAGTCCGTGTCTTTTTTAATTTTCGTTAGGCTGGTTGAAAACGACGATGTTTTCTTCTCGCAAGACACGTAGTTGCTTAAAAATTCTACTTCGTGCGCGTTTTGGTTCAGCTTAGAAGACTTTTTGGATCTATAAGAAGTTATCAAAATCACGAGGTAGTTTATTATGTTGGGATCTGCGATGGCGTCCATCATCGGTAGAAACACCCATCCCGAGAGAATTTCTCTCATCATTATCGAAAAATTTCTAAAACAGCAAATGTTTACCCACAGCACGATACTCTCTAAATTACATTTTACCTGCATTTTAAGTAATCCCCGGGCAAGATATGCACCAAAAGCGATGAAATCAGATGCCTCAGATAATCCAGCTCGTTCTTCCTGTTTGTAGCTGCCGCATGAAGTTTTTTACCCAAATACTCGATAACAACTTCGTTAAATCTAACATTCTTCAGTTTAGCTATTTGTTGAATGTACAAATAATCATCAACATGCCTTACAACACATGGTACTAATTTATTAGCTACCACATCACCCACATCCAATTCTTGCAATCGGTTTATTATAGTGGATGTTGAAAACTTGAAGCAGTATCTTAGCTCGTTTAAAAAGTCTTCATCATCAGTAAACTGGGTATACCAAGAAGATACAAAGTTGCTGATAATTTTCTCAAACAGCTGAAATAATTAATTTAAAGAATGTTGATATAATTTTTTGTGTAACATACTTGTTCCACGGCTTTGTTTAATTCTTCGGACACGTAAATGTGCTTCCAAGGGGTAATACTTTTGGACTGTTGGTGTCTTCTGCAGGACAAGTCGTCGCAGATGCTGCAGGACTGTTTCAGGACTTTCTTATTCGAGATTTTGCCTTTGTAGAAGTTAATTATTCGTTGCAAGTAAATTGTGGCTTTGTGCTTGTATTTGACCAATAACCAGGCCGTCGTGAAGCCGAAAATGTACGCGAAATACATCATTAAACCGCCTAATGGTCTGAAAATGTTTGTACAATTTGATATACCTTTGGAATATCTGATAAGACTACTCACCGAAAGAATATGGAAAAAATTCCCACTAACGATATCATCGTAATTGTAATATTTCGGATTAATATATCATTTGTTAACAATCGTAAGTTGTCAATAATTTCCGTGTATATCATTTTTTTAATATTTATTTTGTATTTGTATAAACAAAAATAGGTTAAATCAACTGTCAAGTCTGTGATAAATATCTGTCGCTGTCAAAATTTTTCTCTTATTGGCCTATAAAGTCTGAGTTACTTAGCCAAAAGTAAATATCTTCTTTCCGAATTAAAATGTAAATGATCTATCGCTGCCATTTGGTTATTTTGAGGTTATGTTAGATCAACGAGGAAAAATAAATTAAACATGGAAAAACAAGGGAGACAATTTCCCGTTTGTCCTAGAATTTATAAGGTAGCTGCCAGTGCCGCGAAAGAAGTTTCCGAACGGATGGGGAGTATCAAAAGTATAGTACTAGGAAAAAAGAATAAACACCCCGTGAGTATTCTAGGTTATGTTTAACTAACACAATTGGGTAAACTTTACCCTGATTTTTTTTAGAATGTTAAAGGAATGTTTGCTCTGGTGTCTAAACTTTACCAAAAATCTGACGAAATCGATATGCTACTAAAGAGATCCCAATTATTAGAGCAACAAGCTGGCTTGAATCCGTGGTTAGCAAAAATTTTGTTAGTCGAACTACTATGGGGCAAGAAGCGCCTTCCAGGGCAGAGCCGACCTGAAACTACTATTCAAGCGTACGAACAAATCTTTAAAGCGCACTTAAGCGACACCGCTTTGGAGGATCCACTTTCTAACAGTACTGATATTCTGCAATTACTATTATTTATAATTAAATATTTATAATTTTAGATGCTCATGTTGGGAAACCCCGCTACGTAAGAATAAACACATTAAAATGGAACCAAAACGATGCGATAGATACCTTCAGAGATGAAGGCTGGGCGCTAAATAAATTTCTAGACAAAACCGATTACAATGGATTTTTGGAGAAAATTGTAACTTTAAACGAGCAAGAATTCATGGTGGACATTCACATTCCTAATTTGCTAGTGTTCCCTTCGAAAACAACTTTCTACAATCACGAAGCTTACAAAAATGGCTCCATGGTTCTTCAGGATAAGGTGAGATTAATGTACTGAAATTAATAGATAATTAAATAAAATATTTATTTCAGGCGAGTTGTTTTCCAGTCCACGTGTTGAATCCTCCTCCAGGTAGCATTGTACTGGATATGTGCGCTGCACCCGGCATGAAAACCTCTCATTTAGCTGCAGTAATGAATAACACAGGAACAATTTATGCAACGGAACGAGATCCATTAAGATATGAAACATTACTTACAATACTCGATAATGCAGGCGCTACTTGCGTAAAAGCCTTAAATCGGGACGTATTAACTTGTAATGACAAAGATTTTCCCAATGTTGAGTATATACTAGTGGACCCCAGTTGCTCAGGAACCGGCATTACTGAGGTACCTGTTGCGAATCAAATTACAAAAGAGAGAGTGAACAATTTATCGGGATTTCAAATAAAAATCCTGAGACATGCCCTAACGAAGTTTCCGAAAGCTAAAAGAGTCATTTACTCGACTTGTTCGGTTTTACCTGAAGAAAATGAAGACGTAGTGCGTCAGGTTTTGGAAACTAATTTTAATTTTAAACTCCTTCCCGCCAAGCAGTACATTGGAGATTCCTGGTTTAATACCGGATCTGAAGATTATGGTGATATTGGGAGATATTGTTTGTATGCGAAACCAAATGAAGATCATACAAATGGGTTTTTTGTGGCTGTTTTTGAGAGATTGCAAGAAGGCGAAACGAATCAGTTTTTTGACACCAAGGTGTTTAATTATAAGAAGCATGTACAAATTAAGCAGAAGGAAATAAGAAAGGAGGCCAAAAGGGAAAAGAGGCGGCAATATGCTGCAGATTTTGATGAAATGAATTTGGGAGAAAATACTATTTCACATGATACTGAAAAGAAGAAGAAATACAAAACAGAAAAAACGTCTTCGACTCGACCAGAGAAAGTAAAAAAGGAAAAAATACCGAATGAGGGTAATGAAATTGTAGATCAAGACACGAAATTAGAATGTGTAGACGACACTTCTGAAAAAATTAAGAAAAAGAAAAAGAAGAACAAATCGAAACATAACGAATTTAAAGGTGATGAAGAAATTAATATAGATTGTGTAAATAACATTTCGGAAGAGCCTGAAAAGAAGAAAAAGAAGCACAAATCAAAAACGATTGATACATCTTCAAATACACCTCTAGAGGAAGAAATTGTAATAGAACCACTCAATGAAAAGAAAGCCAAGAAGAAGAAATCGAAATATAATTTGCAAGAAGTGGATGATGAAAGTAGTGGTAAAAGAAGAAAACTCGAAGAAATGGCAAGTTGTGATGTAAATTCAGCTCCAGAAAAGACCAAAAAGAAAAGTAAATCAAAGAGGGTAGAAGTAAATATAGAAAATAATATGGATAATTTAGTTAGTAAGAAAAGAAAGAAAAAGAAGCACGAGGAAAGCGAAATTATTCATTGTGAATAAAAATAATAATGTTAAGAATTAAATAAATGTTATATTTTCTGCAGTCGATTTTTACAAATCCAATTTTGTAGAAATTTGAAAATAAAAGTTAATTTTCGTAACCGTATTAAAAGACCTACTGGTAGTCCAATTAATGACGGGAAGTAACATTTGACCTATCAACAGTAGTTTCGTATAAACGTGTGTAGATGGCGCTAAAAACTTTTCGATGAAAACAACGATAAAATGGTTGCCTAACGCCAAATTTTTCACAAACGTCGGCGCATGAGTAAATGACAAAATGACGGGGTCTGTCAGTTGCGAATACTCGAGAGCAGTCAGCAGAGAGACACTTTTAATACACAACAGTCATAGTGTTATTTTTGTTGCGCTGCAAGTATTAGTATTGCTCTTATTTCCAGCGTATTTTCGTTAGTAAAACATCCGTACGATCTAAGGACGAATCGAATGAACGAATCTACGAATAACGAACGCTATTCAAGCAGTCGCAACAGTGCCGTTCTCGTGATATTATCGTGGCGATCGGTGGTTTTTATCCAAGGTATTTTAAGTTGAAAATGTTATTTAATACGTGCGAAATCCCGTAGTTTCGCTCGCTATACGTTCAGTGGAAAAAATCGGTGTGTACAAAGTGCTATACGAGGATTATGCTCTGATGGAATACCTTTGGTGTTGGAGTTGCATTGACCCGTTAAGAAACATACAGGTGGTGAATTTTTGGGATAGTTCATATTATTTATAATGTCGGGTAGTCTGATGAATAACGAGCCAGAGCACAAATCGCCGAGGGAGAGTGGCGAGGATTCCGAAGATGAAAGCGAAATTTTAGAAGAAAGCCCATGCGGCAGATGGCTCAAACGACGAGAAGAGGTAAGGAATTCTTTTTCAAAATTTCCCCATATCCCTTTTATCCCGATTAAAAAAACCCCCAACGAATTCGTCTCTTAACCTAACAAGTGCCAACCGGCCTCCATTTTGCGAAAACATGCCCTACATTGTTGCCGATACATTCAAAATAAAAGCAACTCACAGAATATTACACATCTGAATTTTTACGATCGAACCGAACGTGTTAGTTTTTATTTCTAACAAATTCCGCAAATCCCGTTAGAATAATGAAATTAAACGACATTGCCCGGGTCAGAGAAGGTGAAACGTGGACACTCGGAAATTACATCACTAATGTTGCGCGAAATTTTAAATATAGATTCGTGGAAATGGACCGATCAGTAGGGCAAACGGTCCCCGAAAACCGGGTTATACCTGTAGATCCGGCAACGGTGGCGCCCAATCCGCATGCCCTTAGTCTATCATCGATTTTTCGCGTGTTTTTTCCTACACGTCATGCCTGCCGTCTGGACGGATTCGTGTAAATATTGGGACGTGTTATCGTGGATTTATATCTAATTAGCGTTTTCGCATTTAAAAATCGACTTGGAAGCGGCCGGGCTTGATAATTTTATTATATTGAGAAAATAAACTCGACCCTTTAATCAAGTCGACTATGATATGACGGTACTTTTCATTGCGAAACATGACCAATGTTTGTGTAAATTAGGTATAAGTATAGATTTTCGGGTATTTTACAACTAATTTTCGATGTATTGTGCATAAAAAAACTGTACACGACTAGGTACATACTAATTTTTTCGTTTGTTCTAAATGACGTTTTTCATTCACTGAAAAATCCCACGTACGATTTGAAACGTAAATATTGTAAATACTTTTTATGATTGTCGTAAAAACTTTAATTCGATTTACGTCGGTAAAAGTAAATTTTCCCATTATCCTTTTTACCACGATATTTTTCATGAATACATTTCAAAATTCACTTGCTAAATTACAGGCTGCAATCATAGATCGCTTGATTTTGTATGATTTCAATCATTTGTCAATGTTTGACATTGACAGCTGTCATTGAAAAAGTTTTTTCAGGACTCAAAATTTCTATTCCAAGTTCATTTTACTTCAAAATCTAAAATACCTGCTAGTGAGTTGATTTTTTTTTGCTGTTGAACGTTTAAATTAACGTTTATAAACTATAGTAGTTTATTAATAGGTATTATACATAACTGTTCTTTTAGAACTATAATAATGTTAGGTAAAATTCAATTGTCATTACAATCACTTTTTATTGCTGAAAAGAAATAGAAATTCTGCATAAAACCGGAGATATTTACCTGCATACTGATTAAAACGAATCGATTATTAATTATAATAAATACATCATACGCCCGTATCGTTACCAGTTATTAGTCGAGGCAATGTGACTCATACTGAATATAGATAAACGAATGTTTAATTACCTACAATAATTAAAAGAGTATTACCAACATCTCCTCGTGTTTTTCTATAACGTAAATACGTAACTGTATTCATATTTGTTGATATAAGTTTATTAGTAAAATTCTTTCGGATATTTCCTTCCATGCACAAGTTACTGGAATTAGGCCGCTAAAATTGAACTTGTTTAGTCGATAAAATGGGAAATTTTCGTTTCCAGACCCTTTTTCCATTCGGATTCCATCGAACCGTCGGTTGAGACATACCGACATTCTTGTCGCCGGTTATTTTTAGATATACACAAGAACTATGACCTTCTGGGAGTTATAATATAAGCAACCGGTTCGCTTGAGGCGTTTCGCGAGTGTTTCTATTCTCGAAACGGTGGAGTAATTGGCATAGGAGATGTTCTGTTATTAAAGATTATAAAAAAAAGCAACGGATAAACGCAAATTATACCCGTCATTTCTTAGCTACCTACTTCTCGATTCGCCCGGTTTTATTAGGCCTTACGAGAGCGCAATTCTCTTGGAACGCGGGGAATGAATATGCAAACGAAAACCAAATTGAGGTGTCAGTATTAGAGAGATATGCCTAAACTTTTACAGTATTAAATCCACCTCCAGTACGGTTCATAACAAAATTCTGTAACGAAATTTCTTGCACCTATATGCACTTTATTATAGACCGAAAATTTTTGAATTCGTTTACATTACAATTAGGTGCAATGCCAGAATTGACCTTGCTACTAAAATTAACCGTCAATCATTCAACGACACGAATAATTTCCCTGGTTATTGTTTTATTTATAAAATTGAAAAAAAAAAATACCTGCATTGATACGCACCGAGTTGTATAATGGGACGTGTTAATTTCGTTTCGATTTCGAAAACAATCGGTTTTTTATTGACTGTTAAAATCGGATTCGATTTACGTAGTGCATTTGAGGTTATTTACCTAGCGTACGTTTTACAATGTGTCTGTAGAACAATATTGAGAGAAATCCAAGTAGATTTTGTACTTGAGCAAGTTTTTTTTAGTGGTCGAATGCCAAGTAAACGACACTTACCTATTATCCTTACACGCGGGTGAAATTCGAACCTAATGTCATATAACTTCGTTAAAAAAATGATGAATTGCTGCTAATCGACTGCGAAAATTGAAAAAGTTTCCTGGGTCAAGGTAACGACAATGCGAAACATTAAAAAAAACACTACTTGACCTTTGTGCCATCTGTTGTTACCTTTAAATTTTATTCCAAATACTTAGTAGAGTATAAAATTTTCATTTTTTTATCGTAAAAGATGAATCAATGTGAAATAGTTCCCGGAAGTTCCACTTTAAAATAACTTATTTCAAATGAAATATCGTTAGTCGACATTCTTCCTGGGAATCGGAATTTCGCGAATTTTTAATAACAAAATAATTGGATCTTTTTTATCCGAACACAATTTGCAGTTACCTACAGAGCAAAATTTGAAGCATGGCAATTTTTTTTATTGAACATTTCTGTTACTTACCTAGAAAATTAATTATAGATTCAATGTCACATTTTATGCGAGGTAAAATATTTAAAAAAGCGAGTATCCATATTTAACGAGTAATTATGAAAATTTATTAATGAGCCTCGGAGAAATCGGAGGCAAACAGTGATGCAACTGTACAAATATTGAAATGTAAAAAAAACTGCGATTAATAACGCACTCCACGAAAAAGAGATACAGTATTAAAAAGGAAAATATTCGTCCTTTTTTTTCGTTTCGGGTCCAATGTAAATATTTTAACAATATTCTAAATTAAATACGTCTTAATTTTTTAATCTATTTTAAATCATATTTTATCGCAAATTGCGTCATTTGAAATCAAACGGGAGTCCTTCGTTTTAAATGGATATAGACAGGAAATAAATTCAATGCAAGTACATAAACCTAACAGTCTTGTGATTATGAATGCCCTTCGTTAAAGTACACGGTTTATAAGTTTTCTGGAAAGTTGTAAAAAAAGAAAAAAATGTTTCAGGATGTTCGAGAAATGCACACTAATACTAAACCCTGTATAACGTGATTATTTCCGCAATGCGTCCTTTTTTTACACAAATAAAGTTCCCCATAAATCCACCCGGTGTCTTTTCTAAGGTGTTTTTCTGTCGTTTAATTTTCCTCGGGTTTTCCTTTCGTCTTACGTCCTTTCCTTTTGCCGCAGACACACTTCGCAAATCTTCCAGATTAGTTTCAGATTTAATAACGACCATTACACGGATGAATCGATGGGTTTTTTTCGTCTGGAAATCCAATTAATTACATTGTAATTTTCCAGTCTTGCATTTCGCTGAGTGCATGGAATTGCAGACGTTATGCAAACGTTCGCAGATGACATAACTATAGTTGCACGTGAACGGTTTTGATATAATCGAGCGCAAATTATAATAGCTACATTGTTGAATTGTATCCCGTAATATCCCTGATGATTTTTTTTTTATAAGAGTAAGTAGGTAATTTTGGCGGTGATAATGCTATTATAAATTCGGCGTATGTAAGTAGATATGAAAATTTTAAATTTAGAAGGTCGGTCACTTATCCTGGGTGACCTTAGAATTTTTAATCCAGCAAACTTTATTTTTATAATGGATATTTAACAAGCCAGACTTCGACGTGCTTGTATTACTCATTATCGAAATTGTTCTATTCTGGGAATACTCCGAAACCATTGATTAACTTTAAAAGACCTGTCTGACTAAATAGGTAGAGGAAATTGTCGCTCAAACGATTGAATTCGTTTCCATAAATAAAACACTAAACATTGTCCCGGTGGACAGGGAAATATTTTCAGGTCGTTCGTTCGTTTTGTGCAATATATGGGATTAGAGAAAACTTGACCCATTTGGCGACAGACGGACAAACTCGATGAAATGCATTTTTGGTGCTTTTGTGTTATGCGGACGTTTCCACAAAAAAAATCGATTTACGACATTAGCTCCGGCTCGATAAATTCGCGGTATTTTTACCTGTTTTATTTACCTGAGCAGATAAAAGTTTTTTTTTTATAAACGAAAGGTGACAATAACGCATTACATTTTAACCTCATCACAATTGTCATAACTTTGACAAGACCGGTGTATTTTCAACTCGTAATTAGCAATGTTATTACAGAAAAAAAATACCAAGGACGATGTGGTAGTGTATGCAAGGTTGTTGACTTATTTTGAACCTGCATTTTTTAGAGTCATTAAAACGTTAGGTATTATTAAAGTCTGTTTTTAGACACTTTTATTTCGTTAAGTTGGTAGAGAGGTTAGTTGTTAACAAAAAAGTCGATTGTTCTAAGCAGTAAGCCAATTTATACTTTCGAGCCATTCCATTAAAAAAAATTCTGACGATTAATAAAATTAGTGCCAGATTGTTCTCGACCACTTTCGTTAAGGCGACAAAATAAATTTCGATAATAGAATAATAAATAACCGCAATCAATTTAACTCGCCAGAATAGTACAACGCCATTATTAATGTTGTCCGTCCGCCTACTCCTAGAAGTGCATTTAGCAGCAAACAAATAAATAATATTCGGAGCGGATTTTTTTGAAAATACCAA